ACGCCGTGTCTACTTTGATGATACCGAAAATCAATTCAGCCTGTTTTTATGCTACTCAATCGAGGAAATTGGACAGCGAAACATTAAATCTTTTGGTATTTAATCTAAAAGACCAACTAAGATAACTTATAGTAGTATTTTTACATATTATTTTGAAAATTGCTATCTTGTACTTTCATACATTATTCTATGGCAGTTTAAAGGAATTTTGTTAATTACAGATCATTAACGTTTTTACAAGGTTCTTCGAAGCTCCCTCTTTAAACCTAAATACGTAGGGTGAAATGTTCCGTAAAGGGATATTTGGGACCTCAACTATTTTTAATACAAAAACAATCTACAGGGTCCCAACAAAACCTCACTTAACAGTAAAAGTTCATGGTTCGAAGTAACGAAAAAATATGACCAAGGAAAAACTCGCACGATTACTAAATAAAGGCAAAAAATTTTTTCTGTTAATAAAAATGAAAGTCGATAAATATCCAATGCTTGTATAATTCAACGCAAAAGACTGCTGTATCAAGTTTTGATCTGGAAACACATAGTGTACGTGTATAACGAAGTAAAATTACTAGCCTGTGGTTATTTGAGCACTCGCTTGATTAAACGGAGACGAGCATTCAGTACGTGAAGTGACTTTGAACAAATGGTGGATTTAATTGGGTATTTAGTAGGAGCAAAAATAATTAATTAAAAACAAAGCAGCAAGGTATGGTTAGTACAAAGCCCTTTATCAATATCTGAAACGAAACCCCACGAGGCAACAGTGTTGGCTGTAATACGTATAGAAGCTAGATGAACTTTGGCTTCCGATTTCACTGTGTTCAAAGAAATTACGCTAACCCGTAGGTCGCCATGTTTAAACCCCGCAACTACGAAACATATTGAATTACGTTATACTGCCGAATAATAAGGATATCGATATGCAAATGAACGGCGTATCAAAATCTAAACTTTGTTTCAAGGGCCGTTCACAACCTAGCCAAATATTCAATGTGTCCAATTAGATTAATTTTGAACAAGGCGTTTTATTACTCACTCAAGCTCACTCTTCACCCTTGGCTATAGTTCAAGCCTTGTTCATATACGATATACATAGCAATCTAACTCCTAGGTACGTCACCGCCCCTCCATCCATCCTAATTACCGCGATACTCTTTAATACAATATCAATTGAAACGATAATGTACTGAGAAATGTATTAAATAAAAATGATAGGGGATGATTCTAAGGGATCTTGAAATTTAACTTACACCCTCTCACCTGTCCCAAGATAATTTGATATACCTGAGATATAGGGGATAGACATATGGCTGCAACGGACATACTCCATCCCTTACTCTTGGTGGACATCAGACAGATGGCTTGGAGTTTACTTAAGTCGACCTAATGTTTCGTGTATAAACCAGAATCATAAGAACGGGACGTTTTCGCAGGTTCAGGAATACATGAAATACATGAATACATGAGTATATCAGGAATACATGAAAATCTTCGTCGACTACTTATATGATTCGTTTTGTCGCACCATAAATAATGTTCTTGTTACAGTACCACCCGATGTGTAAAGCATACGGATCCTTTGCTGCTTATTTGATTTTAGATACTCTGCCAAAGAACATGTCTAATTTAACTCGAGGAAGTTGCAGTAATTCTAAGTTATGTATTCGATAGCACAAGTCTGGATAGTAACTTTAACGTGACGCGGATTGTAGTCAATAAATTATATAATAAATTAAAATTATATAATAAATTTAAATCCTTATAACGTGGCATTCATTATTTACTATAAGGTTGTAAACTATTATGGACCCTGGTTTGGATAATCGAAAAATTCGGGTAATGAAGTAAAAATACATTTTACACACAAAGTATTCACGACTATTGGTGAAAGAGGCCATTTAATGCAGATCAGCTGTGATCGACGGGTTTTATGTCCAGGCAAGCTGGGATGAAACGGACTACCAGTCGCCGTAGCTCGAATTGAGCTAGGGTAACTGAGCAAATTAAAACTATATTGAATTCTACAAAAACTGATACATACTTTTATGGCAAAGACTCGAAGACTAAAATTAAGGACTATAGAAAAGAAAAAAGGTTAAAAGGTTAGCCTCGATACAAAAGACAAACAAGTCATGCAGTTGGAGAAAATTTATGCCAGAGAGGCCTACAGGGAAGAAAGTTCTTCTCTAATCAGGCGGGCTGTACACAATCATCAGGAATGGGTTGACAAAGGTTGTTTTTAAGAAAAAGACACATCAAATGCAAGAGGACAGAATCAACAGCGATTCGGACCGGGTCTCCCGAATAGAGAGAAGTAGATGTAGGTGTACTTGCGGGTAGACGGCATTTTTATTTATGAATGGAAGAAAATCGCAAATGATAATTTTTTTTTTATGTATCTTACAAGGTTAGAAACTGTCTTTTTACACTGAAGTACATTTTTCCGAAAGTAATTCGATGAATTATACTGTCCAAGTTTATTGATGCTTATGAAGAAACCATAGGATTAATGTTGAAAAAAAAGAGCAATCGAGCCCCGTTTAACAGAACAGAACCAGTTCTTATCACCTTTTTTCTAGTTCTTAAACGGCGGATCATCGAGGCTTATTTTGAATTTAAAACCTCTTAATCACTTTATCTACGTGAACCATTTTGAGCTGCAGGATCTACGAACTTATGAAGATTTCAATTAACAGATGAATAGGTATCTTAAACCTGATTTAATTCCATGGAAAAACAGTGTGCAAAAGTCTACTTATCTGAACAGATGACTATAAGCTGGTTATATGTATATGTTTGGAGCTACCAGCGGTTTGCAAAATGTACACGGTTTTTGGACTGATGCAGAGAAGAGATATCAAATTAATATCTTTGAGCAATTATCGGTAAAATTGACATTAGAGCAATTCGCTTCTCATTTGAGGAATTGTCAGATTTCATTACGTATAGACACTACTGCAGCTATAGTTTACGTTAATAAGAATTGGAGGCGTTAGAATTTCTAAGTTAGACAACTTGGCTAAACAGATCTGGCAATAGGCTGAGCAGAGAGCACATTTTTAATTGCATCTTATATCCCATCTAAAGAAAATAAAGAAGCTGATAGCTGTTCTAGATCATATAATGAAGATACCGAATGGGAATTTGTGAGTACTGCCTTTGAAAAAATATGTAAAACTTTTGGAAAATTAGAAGTGGATTTGTTTCCTTCTGTTAAAAATGCAAAATGTAAAAAGCATTTTTCTTGGCATCAAGCTCCTACAACTTCACAGGTTGATGCATTTACAGTCAACTAGAGGGACATAAGTGCTCATGCTTCTCAGCTGTTTTCTCTCATTCTCAAAACTCTTGTAAGAGTCAAGAAAGATAGAACTACAGGAATTTTCATAGTGCTGAATCCGAGGAGTCAATTGTAGTTTCCCATTTTCGTATCAGTGTTAAGGTTGGTGACCAAGTCTCTCGAGGGGGCAACGGGAAGAGAGGAGGTTCCTATGCTTTCACATTGCGTGACGTCATCTTAATAATTTCCAGATTCTGGATAGTTGATTAGGCATAATAATTATCTAGAACCCAATTGCAATCGATAAATGATAAATATCATCTTTTCCCGGGTAAAAATTTGAAGGCGTACAACAGATTGATGACAACAGTCTAAATATTTTAATTAATAATTAAGCTCGTTATGTGATCGTATTTATTATTGCGAAGCGTCCGATATTAATTGAGGTAAAGGATGAACGTTTATCACACATATTTGATTAAAAATGTTATCGTTTGATAAATTTTATATTCCGAGATAATAAGAAGTATGAATAATGTATACTTTCTTGATTCGAATTGCGCGCGCTTCGTGTTTGCCGCTTGTGCTAACTCTCGTAGAAATGCGGCGTTGCCAAATTTCTAGGGAGCCATCAAGCCTCCCCTCATTTTTTCGACGGTTTGTCTCATATTTATCGCGATTTCTCTGCAATTTCCCTTATAACCGTACATTTTTTTGCATAATAATCATCCTCATACTCTATTGTATATAATATATGATTTTCGTAAGACGGTCATTAATCACACGGAAGATATAAGTGTGTAAATGTGACCGACGATCTCTCCTGCCACATGACCCATGCGTTTTCGTGACGATTGGTATCAAGTTATGCATTTAATATCTTGAAAAATAATATTATAATCGGATTCGATCTTTTTCGAATCGACGCAGAAACTTTAAATTTACAAACTGTACAAATTTCAGAAACCTGTATTTGTTTTGAAAAGCACGATCAACAACCTTAATTGGATACCTAATGCTATTTGAGCTGAGAACTAATTTGTTATTATCCCAAGTAGGTTGAGGACCCATCCAAGGGCGAAGCACTTAAGTTTGTTTGCAGGGATTACTTATAACGGGACAGCGTGTATAAGCAAAGATATTCCTAAGGAAGATATTGATATTATCTTGGCGTCTATAAGCGTTGCCACGTTTAGGCAATACTAATTGACCCTAAGATAGTGATGGAGATTATGTCAAAAAGATTGAGTGATGGAGTAATTTTTTGACTGAGCAAATTTCTTGACTAGTTCCGCCAATTTTTCCCAGTTTACCCCAGGATAAAAAGCGGGAAGTAAATATTCCCAAGATTCGGGAAACATGCATTGTTTAATATTCTCAATTAAAAGGAATACCCGTAGGTAACTATCGCTTGTTACCAGATAACAAACAAAAGGAAAAAAGAATCAAAATCAAGCACGTACCAATTTCATTCTCGCGTGTCATTGTCGTCAGCAGACGATTAATAGAAGAGAGACCCTTGCGCGATTGCTTTTTCCGAAGGAAACAATCTTTACGCGTAGAGGCTCCCGTCAAGTGCAACGCCTCTTGAGAAAATTGAATCACGTGGATAAAACTAGTAGAGAAAGTGGTACGAGGCAGAAAAAAAAGTTACAAAACTGATGAAAGCTTCGAGTCTGAAGTTGATTCTAGGACGATTTTCTATTTATTCTTTCAGATGATGCTGGAGCTCAATCTGACCTTAAACGCTTCTCCACCCACGAAGTTTGAGTTTGACGAAGAAAGTCGATACGTGCCGTACGATCAACGTCCTGAAACATACATAGTACCAATAGTATTTCTACTGATCCTGGTAGTGGGAGTTGCTGGAAATGGAGCTCTGGTACTTACGCTTTTACGTCATGCTAACATGCGCAACATACCTAACACGTATGTGTTATCACTGGCGTTGGGAGATTTACTGGTGAGTTGACATATTATCCAACATTGTATCTCGTAGATGGTAAGATATAGGTAGATATCGATAGGATCCAGGACTGAGTATATATGTGTATACGTATATGTCCAGAGATGGGTGGCTTTTTGATACGACAATGTCTATCATAAATCATAAAGCTGGTTAAAGTTTGTCAACGTCATTGTTCCGACGGGATCGTTGGAGTTCTGCCAAGTGGGTCTAGGCAAATGCGTTACACTTCGTCAACCTGACTCTAACAGATTTCACAAAGTTTTGCGCTGTAGAAAGGAACATAAAGAATATTAACGATGAAACACCAAGTCGATAATTTCAATCCTTATCGGCGCAATACAAAATTTTTTAATACTTACAGATCCGAATGTAATATTTCGTTCCAGGTAATCATCACGTGTGTACCATTCACATCGATCCTTTATACCATTGAATCCTGGCCATGGGGATTGGTAGTATGCAAGTTGTCGGAATGCGCCAAAGACATTTCCATAGGCGTTTCCGTATTCACGCTAACGGCACTATCCGCGGAAAGGTAGATATTATTATATATCACGTTGGCATTTTTATGAGAATTTTCAAAGTACGAATTGTACAGAGAATCCTTTTACCGATTCTTAGATACTGCGCCATTGTGAATCCCATTCGACGACACGTAGCAGGACTCAGTGCCAAGCCATTGACCATCCTGACTGCAACGTTAATCTGGGTCCTGGCGAGTATCCTGGCGATGCCTGCAGCACTTTTCTCCTATGTCTTGACGATACCTTTAACAGTAAATCACAGTATACTGGTTTGTAGTCCATTTCCAAAAGAGTTTGGTGAGTCTGAATATACCTGATAAGCTAACAACCTTCCTGAATATTCCTGATACTAATGTACATACATGCATACGCTGATGATTGCTTTCATAGGACCGAGCTACGAGAAGGGTATGGTCCTCTTCAAGTTCCTGGCCTATTACGCGATACCACTCTGCATAATAGCAGGGTTCTATCTATGCATGGCACGCCACCTGGAATTATCCACCAGGAACATGCCCGGCGAGCTACCCGGCGCGCCGCACCAGCGCGGCCAGATACGAGCCCGTAAAAAGGTTTTTACCAGCATTTCCCATAGAGCGAATTTCACTATGAAAAGCGGTTGATTAATCAGTTCGCTGCTATCGTCCCGTCAGGTCGGCAAGATGGTCATAGCATTCGTAGTGATCTTCATCATCTGTTTCCTCCCCTATCATACCTTCATGCTGTGGTTCCACTTCTACCCATCATCCAAGGATGCCTACGATGACTTCTGGCATACCTTTCGCATTATTGGATTTTGCCTAAGCTTCATAAACAGCTGTATCAATCCAATTGCGTTGTATTGCGTAAGCGGGGCATTTAGAAAGAGGTAAGAGCCCATGATTACCCAACTTAAATTAGCCAATCTTCAATATACTTTATGACCACCCTATACTCTCGGTCCGAACCATTCAAATGTATAAAGGTTCAACGAGTATCTCTGCTGCTGTGTACCTGGTGCTCGACGACGCGAAGGTGGCGAGGGTCGTTTCCCACGAACCCGTGGTGACGCAAGCACCCTCTACGAGACGAGCTTTCACTCAACCTACAGAAGGCATACCCAAGAATTGAATTCGACTACCCTCTTCAATATGGGAAACGAAGGAAAGCCAGCTTGAGCTAGTAAGACCCGTGAAAAGACCTGTGTCCCTTTTTAGGACACGACGAAGAAACAGAAATTCAGTCGAACCTGTAAATCACGCGTAGGGAGAATCGATGGGACGTTGAGAAAAAAAAGGAAAGTTTGGATAAGACATATGAGAGGAAAACAATTAAAGGAAGTACAGGGATCTATACGTCACGAAAATAATGACGTATATGTAACTAGAATCATGTGTGATGATATACGTACTTATTTCCTCGATGCTCAGTTATACATTACGTATGTATTTATGTAGGTCATATGGACTATATATTTGATTCATGTTACAGTACGAGATGTCAGAGATCCCGATGCGTCAAATACACGTCTATGTATTTTCAGCATCCATAAAGATTCTGTATCCGTATCTACTTATATATAATGTATAGAAATCTTATGACGAGATGAAATTCTAACATATCCAGCTGTCACTGGACGAGGAATCATCCTGCCAGTTTCTTCTGGAGGACGTTGATGGAAGTGAAGCGGTACATTTGGGCACAGCATCCTGGACTCTATCTTTAGAGTATATCGTTTAAGAGATTCAAGTGAGAAAGAGGTGGCGAGAAATAAACTGTATTTTGACTATTTCTTACATTCTCGAATATCAATGCAATCCTTTCTCTCAGATATTATTCAAACTCGTGTTTTATATTTACAAATCGATTCGACTGGTCCAGTCGATGCACAGGATTGGACCCAGTAGCAATCATCTTGCCTTTTCTTTAATCTATAAAAATGTATTATATTATATTAAGTATGCGTGTGATATTGTCGTATCGTACCTCGAGTATATTTTACTGTATACAAAGTAACGTTGTACATAATCGTATATCTGTATATTATACAAAAGAGCCGTGAACGTATTAAAATTTAGTCATCTTACTTATACGCACATTCCGAAAGCTTCGTGCGCTAAGGGGAAAAGATTTGCTTCGTGTCCGTAAGGGGCCGCGCCCGATCGTGAGATCACGCGCGATAGTTACTGTGTATGTCGTATAGTGTAATAAATGGAAGAATAAAGTTTATTGTTTCGACGATACCTAGTACCAATGTACCATGTGTCCCTGAGATAAATCCAGGGACAAAAGAATCTTTCGAAAATTCTTCGAATAATCGAAAATATATATTTACAAGGCTAGTCAATATCTGTCGAGTAGTTATAAACGTTAGGGAAGATAAAAATTAATTTTTCATGTACGTAAATGAAAAAATAAATTATTGAAATTTTATTGCTGTTGATCCGACGCTTTCAAGTGTAACGGAAAATTTTTACAGTACAAAAAAGCGGGTCAGTTAACGTTATTATGCATGAACAAGTAGAAAGGTTGACAATGAATAAATTCATGAGGAAAACTTGGAAACGTATAATGTGAACAATGTTAATGATTTCAAGACAATCTAGTCATGAAACTTTCGGGTCCTGTACATAACTGTCGAGGTCGAGTCTCATCCAGAGTACAAGGCACGTCAGATTCAATTCGTGAAACTCGTGACAAGATGAACAAATATCTCAGAAATTATTCAACGTGCAGGAAAATTGTATACCCCTACAACGCCCTACAATTCAGGTCGCCCCAGAATTTGATTATTCTGATAACAACAGGTGTATTAACATTTATTTAAAAAAAAATATTCTAATTAAGAATTACGTGTTTCGATATTTTCAAAAAAAATATGATTCAATATATCATTAACAATCGCTATAAGCACGTGGATGAGTGGACGTATATATGTATTATTAACAATCCAGTTAATAAATTTTAACCATTGTCATCTAGTCCATTTCATTTGTTACTATGAACCTACACAATATTTCATTGCTCCAAAATATATCCCATGGACCTAAAAGGTTTTACGTTAGTTGCAAACAGCTTCCCTCGAAGCTACAGTAAAAATTGAAACCACCCCTATCGAAACGTTAAAGCATCTTTAGTATGTCTAACGAAAAAAGAATTTAATAAATTTTTGGTAAATGCTTTTTTAATTAAAAGGCGTTAAAGGCCACGCTACATAATCCCTTATAAATTAGTCGTATGAAAATGTTATTTCTATCTCTGTTGCTTTATAATACTCAATACATCATTCGTTTTTGATACGAGTAATTTAATCTCCCACTTACTCCCATCAAATTTACAAACGAGATCAAAGATTGCCATTTCTCTATTAATTGACTTACTGTCACTAATAAACAGGTGTGGTAAGGGGAATTTAAAAATTCCGAAAATGACATTGCCTCATAAAATATTTAGAAATGCAGGGCGAGTTGCAATATTCTGGAAATTGGAATACCAATGAGAATTTTCTGTTGGTAATATAACTAAACCTAAACGAATTTATCTGCTCGTTTTATTTAAAAAACAGAACACGTTTTCTCGTCAATCAAAGTCCCAATAAAATATCATTCTTGAAGTTTTTGTGTTTGTATTTACCGAACAATACATCATCCCCTGTAATCGTTTTCAAGGGACCACAAGATTCCTTTCATCTTTTTTAAACTTAATCAATTATTTTTCCAAGTTTTTTTCTCCGACTAACTAAGAGAAATCCGAATGTTTATATTTCTTTTTCCGAAAATTAACTACGACAAGATTAAATCAAAACGTGAACGATATTCGACCAAACAATCTAGATATCCCAGACACGAAATGCATTATAAAATGAAATTGACGACAGTCATGAACTAATAACCATCCAAAGATTCCCTAGAGTTTTAAATATTGATAAAAATAGAAAAACCTCATATCCGAAGCAAACAATTTAAGTTTGTTTTAGATAAAAATATATGTTGAACATATATTTATGTTCAGAAAATTAATATTTTGTAATTCAGTATTTCACCATGTAAACCCCATAAGCTTTGTACCTGAATTGCAGTTATCTAGTCAAGCCAGGCTGTCCAATGTATCCGCAGAATGCACGAATATTAGAAGGATACACTATGCACATCATATATAATCGTTTAATGCTGGTAAATTCACATGAATGGTATCGCTACCTAGCAGGATATAGGATATAATAAGATAATTTAACAAAGCCCGTTATTTGTCTAGAGTTACGTTTTCTCAATATGAAAAATTCACCGCGTGTGTGTTTCGTATACGATATGTATAAGGTGCTCAGAAATTTCAACTATTATTTACCACACCTTACCGCCGATTAACATACAGTAAGCAAGTATTAAATATTGAAAATTATTAGTCAGCGATACATTTTTATATATCTACAGCTCTTCCGTCATCCTTCAACTTCACATAGAAAAATTGAATCATAATAATAATTTTACAGTCGTAGTAAAAAAACTCATCTGATTCGAAACTGAATAAAAACAGCGGCTATACCCATACAGAATATGTATACAGTAGACTCTCGTATAACGCGAGTTCTTACAACGCGAATTCCTATAACGCGTTAAATAATAAAACACAGCATTAGATGCGCATGTTGAGCATTAGATTGTTTTCTATTTAAATAAAAAAAATGTTTAATATTTAAAATATATATGTAGATTTAAAACTCCAAAAAGAACTGTAAATAAATACGGCAAATGTAATAAAGCAAGATAATATATTCATTGAAAATATTGAATCTTGAGTTGAAAATGTTTAAACAATTGAAAATGAATATACAGTATATACTTCCAACCAAACCGAATACGTTGAAATGTGATTTTGGACGATTCTGACAGTGACTAATAATCAAGATTGTAACAGTATTTTTCAACCTAAAAAATCTTAAAAAAGATATTACATAAATTTTTATTATTACATTTTTATTAAATTTCAATAAAATAAAAGATTTTTTATATACATTTATAATGTTTTCTTTTTTCATCAACTTCGTATACATGCCATTTACTTTTATAATACTGTTCTAATTGTTCAAACATAAAAAATAAAAGTTGGCATAGCAATAATCATTTCAAATATATTACTTTAGATTATACGCGTTATACGAGAAAAATTCCCGTCCCGCACAATTTCCTATAACGCGAATTCATATACCGCGAAACGTATTAACCGCGTTATAGGAGAGTCTATTGTACCTGTAATACATACATAACAGCGAAGCCATTTAAAATCTTGGCTTCCATTTAAAACATGTGACAGATGTTTCCAACGCTTAGCCGTTACCATTTACTACTGTGAATAAACCGGTACGACACCGCGTGCCATGGTATTTCGATTTTGGGATGCTTAAGGGTGGGTACCCTTACCTTTTGTCGCACCCGCACCGCACTGTTTACTCCCAGACCCTTATATCTATATACATATAGCAATTCATTCAAGGGACGAAAAGACCTTTCCACTATGATAGATTATAAAGATATATACATATATATACAGTGGCGTTACGCAATAAAATTTTTTTTGATTGGATAAATTTTTAGATTGTAACGTTCCAATATAAGTATGAAAATTTGTATGGATTCCTATATATGGTTTTTCTTTTCATAGTGTAAACGGTACTTCAGGTACACGTATCCCATATGTACGGCAGTGGCTAACGATTTTAACGTATACTCTCCCCCTACTACTCATGGGGCACGCTTCAAGATCAGGGGGTCGTTTTGCAGCTGTCATGGGGTATTTCATGGGTGGGGATATGGGGCACGCGACAAACTAGCACCCTCGTAACGTTCATAGTCAACCGTCAGTGTTCGGTACGTCTTGTCGTTGATGAACGTACGGTAAGAATTGCTAAAGCAACTACGAATTTGTTATGGAACTAATTTAATGTAAACGTGCCGCGAGTGTTGTGTTTTATAATTCACTTATTATATGGTGGCAAGTTAGACGACTTGTGAAAATATATAATAGATTGACTGCTATAAATCGATCGTTAAATTAAATTATGTCACATTGTATAGGCTAGTTTAAATCCTCCGACAGATTTATGGTTCGCAATTAATCACAGGCGTTGTAGTCGTATAGGCAGAGACGCCGAGTTGTTGTCGGTTTGTCATTTGGATTGATTGTATGAATCAGAGTCATACGATTGAAATACTTTATCTCGTTGCAATGACATGTATTTAGCAGATATTGACGAAATATGTAATGTATGAATGACTTTATGTTTACTGTATGTGACCTTATGTTACAGATATACAATTTTCGTTATCGAGAATGAAGAGATCTTTGTCGGTAAGATGAAAATTGATATACAGGATTAGATTAAAAATTTTGTAATGTTAAACTGATTAAGTGTTTTAATTTAACGTTTAATTCTATGCAAAGGCTCCGTGTCTCGCAGAGGCCGATAACGAAGTTAAGAAAATTAAGTCTGCTGCAGAAACGCTGGTAATTTAAAATAGTAATAAAACTTTCAAGTTTGCTTTACTCTTTAAAGATGTTTAGTCTTTTGTACCATCGTTAGCTTATTAACGTTAGTCGATAATACCATTTGAGTGTGCCTCTTTAAATATCTAGTGTATTCTGCTTTAGTAATACTCTGTTGCTTTCTCATAATTGTGTTGTAACAATTATATTGTTAAATTTAAATTTGCAGCAACCCAATGGTCGTGAATACTTGCAACTGGCGCTGGCAAAGGTTTTAGAATTGCAACGACAAATTAAGGATGATTCCTACATTACCGACAATACCAGCGACTTGGGTAAGAGGATGTTTTAGAGATCGCATGAAGTAAACAGGAGTAGAAGCATGTAATAAATTGATACTCTTAATCAACAGGAGAGTCTGATAGCGAGGAAGATCTGATGAAAGAGGTTTTGACAAAGGTTTTCAAGGACCTACCAGGCTCCTCGTCTACGGTAGACTCGGTCATAAATCGCGCCATAAGACCGGAACCTGCCCAACTTGAGGTCGTACGCGGTAAAAGCATTCAGCTTTCGGGATACGACATGTGCCGACGAGTGGCCGTTGATTTTATGAGGAATGTTGTGAAGTACACCCCAAGAAATCGTGAGGATGCTGAGAAATTTCATGTGGGAAAGTACTCGAGGGTCGCGACAAAAATGGCAAATCGAAGGACAGGGCTGCTAGTAGAACAAAACGCACAAAACGTGAACTTGCGTCAAATGGATGCGAACTCTCAAGACATTCAGAGAGAAAACTTGTCTACTGAATACGAAGTAAGGATTCGAATGCTGAAAGGATTAGATTTACATCTGGCAGTTAAACAAAGAGATTATACTGCTCGCTTAATGAGACAGTGAAAAGTCATGAATGGTTTCTTCGTGACTTAGTTATACTTTAATCTAGTCTTATTACCAAACGTATTTATTATAATTATCAGTAAGAATTCTAGTCATGGCGTGTGAATAACGCTAGTCATTGAAGATGTAGAAACAAATACCTATATAAAACTTAATAAATTTCTATTGTAAAAAAATACACTTACCGTTTTGTCATTCTTCACTTCCAACCGTCTAAATCCAAGAAGATTTGGCTGTGAATTCTTCTTGACGTATATAATGAATATCTGCAATTAATATCACTTATTAACACAGCACTGTAAATAACACGAGGAAACTAATATGCTGAAAAGTCCAAAGAGAAAGTTCCAACGGCTTTTCTCGTATAACCGTTCGAACCTATGCAAGTCCCAAAATTCTCTAATTTTTAATACATATTCTTGCCGTTAGAGCGCAGCACATTCAATTATATGAATAAAAGTTACAACCACCTAGCATATACTTCGCCGTTTAATAAACGTAATTAACGGAATGAAAACCAATTATAAATAGTTGCTTAATTAATTTTTTACTATTACAGCCTTGTATTTGAATGAAGATGAAAAAAGTAGACCTACTCGCACCGCTTGCTTACCATAAAAATTGCTGGTTACAATACCGACACTACACTTTAGTACTAAATTCTGCCACACGCGGCGCTAGTGTAGTAATCGTATGGCGGCTCACGATGTAGCAGTGTTCCGTGAGCTTCCATCGCGTTCTGTTTGAGTCAGCGCTAGTAAGCTGCCTATCGGACGCCAAAAAGTGCCTTCATACGCGAGCGAGCGAATCAAAAGGGAACGAGAATGGCAAATGACGGCCACGAGAATGGCACGAGCAACGGGGATGTGCCCGAGATTGAGCTGATTATTAAGGTGAGTTCAAGAAAGCTTAGCAGGTTGAAGTTGATGATATCAGAGAGCCCTGAGCCTTGCTTACAGAAATGGGCGTGGAACGCCAGAACGAGCTGCGCTCGACGATTTCGAGTCTGTTTCCTCACGTATTTCTATAAAACAAAGCACGATTCCGGCGGAATAAACAATCATCCGTGAAGTACAAAGTACCTATGCCTTGGGATATCCGAAAAGTCTATTTTTACTGTGGTTAACTCGAAGTTACCCAGAATCCCTCTCAGCTGTCTTTTGTTTTTTAAAGTGACGTGACTCGATGAAGGTCTCGGCGTCAAGTTAACATCTATATACGTCTTAAACATTTACAAGCAGCGTCGCTGTACGAAAAAATCGTCGGTAATTGCACTGTTCTCAGTTGCCAGAGACAATATTGCCTGTGTTTGCTTTATTTTTAGAAAATGCTGATGAACTGCTACCCAGTGAGCCGGTACGATAGAACTCGTTACGGCGTTGTATCGTGTTAACTGCTGCGGCAGCAGTTCTCTCTCCTTTCTATGTCCTGGTTGTTCTCTCGTTAATGCCTACAAGAAGTAAGAACCTGTGGAATATCTCCTGAACTTGTGTTTGGAGGACGTGTCACGATAGAGTAGAAACGAGATCCGTCCGTTGGCACAGACGGTTGCTTTTTTACTTACCTTTCTCCATTTTACGCTCCATTTTTACTATTTTCGCGACGTCATCGAAATCGCCTATCAAGAACGCTCGCCAATCAATCGATTCTCGCTAACGATCCGTTTCGCTGCTTACACCGTGGCCGGCGAGTAAAAGTAGTGTCGTCGCCTGGGGCTGCTTAGAGAAAAAGTTGTGATCTCCTGTGTAACTTAACGGGGAAATCTTAGGGAAACGTACCTGCCTTGCTATTCCCGAAGGAAATCGAAAAGCTAGCGCGACAGGTTTCCACGTGGCCTGTTGTATGCGACCAATGGCGTGCAAGGTACGACCTCGTATCTCGATAGCTTCCTACGTCCTTCCGCTTGTAATAGAATTTCAGACTACGTGAAAAGTGCTGACACAGCTTAGGAACAACTGTGTACATTATATGTATATATATATATATATATATAGATTATACAGGGAGTATCTGAACATGCGCGACAGGTGGTCACATTGAAAAGCCCTATAAACTTTCAGAAGAGACTCAGAACTTGTAGCCTAGACTTCCTTTGTATTTATCCATACGGTAACGATGTGGAATGCTCACCGCGTCTTAGGGTCAGCGCTCATGTACGCATTTCAATAACTGTACTGGATAAGAATGATGTCGTGCACAGCTTAAAAGGTCTCCAGTGGGTCCTTTTATTATTTTAACCTGAGCACCCTCTACGTAGTCTATGTCCTCAGACGATTTTCCTATACCTTTGTCATTTTTATTGATTTTATCTTTCGCCTTGTATAATAATATTTTTTAGACGTGTTCGATATATCAATCATTTTTAAAAAGTGTATATATATACTGTTGCAATAGGTCTTATTAAGATCTCCAATACTTCAAGATAAACATTTTCCAAACGCTATCACTGATACCGGAACCACCGTCAATACAACGGAAGATTGACAATGATTGTGCTACGAGAATAGGCTCGTTCTCGTCAATTAGAAACAATTAGATAGGAACCGTTTTTAAGAGTGGTACATATACACGGTTATCAATTAGCATCTCATCGAGAACCCGAACGATAGTTTCCCGTCTCGTTCAACTTATTTTCTCGTTGGAACTTAGATAACGTTTGATTTTCACGATGCGCTTCAGTATTGTATCGACTGATAAGATAAAATGTGAATCGATTGTAGAATTGTGTCGAATAACTTTGTCAAGAGTTCGTACTTCTTGATATAGAAAATTCGACTCAGGCAGAATCACGTACGCAGGTCCTTATCAAATTAAATGATAAGATCCTGAAAGGTAAAAAATCTTGCTCGCCATGGACGTAATCACCTTTGTCCCTGGGTCCTTACAAGTCCCTATAACGGAAACTGGCCGACCTTGCACTCGAAGTGTGTCAAACGGGACAGTGAACACCTCCGCCAGGAACGATATCTTTTCTCTAACGTACCGTTAAACTCTTGCATACTCGTTTTCCTTCTTACTGAACATCATTCTCGTATAAAATATTCTGAAAATCATTGTACGACCTCATGCACGGGAGGGCATGAGTAATAAATCGGCGAATTTCTGTATAGTAACTTACGCACGTACAGTATCACCCTGTATCAAATTTTACGCACGTAGAATTACGCAAGAGCTACAGTATCCTGGGATATCCGAGATAACTATTGCACCTTGGAGTTTGGAATCACTAGACGAGACACAGATTAATGATAGTCGAATAAAATACGCCAAGTGACACACAGTGTTAAAATAATAGTAAAGAGTATAAGACTGATCAAACCGAGTGTAGGGCTCTACTTAAAAAACAGCTTTAGGAACTTGATTAATGTTCATTATCATCCGCTTCCAGTCCACTTCCATCGCAAACACTGCACCTACTGTACGTTTTCCAAGTGTATATGGCAAGTGTATATGGCAGGCAAGAGCCATTAGGAAATTTCAGAGAAAAATTTTCTTTCAATACTCGTAATCACGTATTAGCCAATCAACTAACTAATTTTTTGTTGTCCGCCTACACTCGACTCCTCTAGAGTTCTCATTGTCCGGATACCAGCTCAGTAACGTTTCCCACCGTTGACGTTCATTTATCCGCACATCCGCTCTGGATCTTGGCCAAGGAACGTAACTAGCTTCGGTAAGAGCGTATCTTGATTTTTTTCATCCTGCCAAAATTTAGTGTGAAGACTAAGATGACTTTGTATTAATTTTTTTTTCATTGTTGTCCAGAGTGCTTTCCTTCTCTGCATCCTTTTCTGTCTCCTTGATCATTGCGCCATATGAATCATCATCCATCGTTGGGCACCTGCAACAATATATTAAGCGTATATAAGGTATTCGGCCTTCGACGTGGGACTCTGAGTGAAAAAGATGTTGGCTACGATTCGCGTCAAAGATGTCGCTGCCATTAATAGCTTCTTACTAATGCGTCTATGTACAATGTTGTGTACCAGAAGTTACTGAAAGAGCGTCATCTAGCATAGACGTAGATTAGGCTCACGATATTTATTCGAGGAATAATATTTTAACTAAGATAAGCGATATGAATTATTAGGCCACTGATCTTTATTGTTTCAATTAACGTTTTATTGAACTTATTATATAAATCTTTTTAGTGGTACTAAGATATTACACGTATCTGTATAACAGATATACAGCTCTTTGTTGGTTCTGGTTCTCAGTATATTTGAAGCCTAAAACATATCTTTGTATTCTCGTGTAATTCAATATACAGTAAGGGTCTCTGTAGTTTAACGAGCGACTAGACTTGTATATAAGATTTTCCATGTTTTGCAAATAGCGAGCTCCGCTAAGCACGTTTAAACGATAAGGAAACCGACAAACGTTCAGCGCGTATAAGTAAAGGCTACTCGAATGCTCTGTACCAGATATTCAGTACTGAAATTTACTGACTTTACAACTTCTAATCACTTGTTTTAATATTAATTAGCTGATTAGTTAATTTTTGACATTTATATTTGATGTATCCAAGCTTGCGTCTGGTCTTGTTCTTCTTCAATTCAATGATAATCTCGGCCACGTACTTTTTCACGAATTTCACAATGTCTCCGTATTATCCCTGGCGTTCAAGTTTCTTACTGTTTATTTAAATTCATCGAAAACGTCCCGTTCTACGGAGTGCGATTAGCGTTAAGCTGTGAATTTCAATTGCATTGACTTATCGGATTTCGCAGTAAGCCGATAACGACGAGTAGACCAGTAGTTCGTATCGAAGAAGGTCGTCGTATGGTATCCATATCCATTGGCAGAGGTTTATTATTATTTTTTTTTTTCTTAGGCCAATACGCGCTCGACACGCTTTGAATTTCCCGACTTTCGTAAGAGAGAAAGGAGTAGAGGAGGATCCGATCGAAGGCAGGAGATGCCAGTCTAAAGATGGAGAATACATGATTATCCAGCTGCTGACATTTGATCTGAGATTTACATTCTCTGGAGCAACACAAATATCCTGAATTTTATTCTTGGGTTTGCTATCTTATTTACATGGAGAGAGGCACAAGAGATTGAATGATCGAAAAAAGAAACGTCCATTTGTCTTTGCTTCGTTACGATATTTTTAATGAAAACATAAGAGAGCATCTTTAGACTTCATTATGAGATGAGACTGGGCTTTAAATTATAGCCGTTTACCAACTCGCCACGTTTCACGGCACGTGCTCTCAGCTGTGAAAAATCTTGGGATTCCAGGTGCAAGTCGTTTCTAATTGGTTTGATTTCGTTATGAACCTTTGTTATTTGATCCTCCTCGTCTTCTATGCATTTATTGGTGTTTAATTGCAGATTTAATTTGGATCACCTTTTTTTTTGTAGAGGGATTGCAGTGGCTGGCTTAAGGGCGATTTTTGGAACTGATTTGGAGACGTTGGTGTTAGTTCTATGGTTGTCTTCTCGTTAGTTTTCACTGTCTGTCCTGGCTCTGTGTTCAGTCGGTTAATATCCAGTTGCAAAAAAGTTCACTCGAAAGAGTCTTGTAACTAATTCGTACGTCGTTGGACCTACTGACTCGAGCCTTGACTTTCGCGTTGCGCAATAACGAATTCCCAAACCTGGAGAACGGGCTATGCGTCATCAGGCATACGGACTATTATTGAGAAATAGTACGGACACCGTTATAAACCAACTAGAAGATCCTATTTATAACGAGAGCATCGATCAATCGATCAGTCTTGGCCATGAATCTAAAGGGAGAGTGTATGTACACGGTTGGATAGAAATATTCTGTAACCGAAAAAATGGGCGGTAGATATTATTAGAAGAATATGAAAAAAATTAATAATTTTAGATAAGAAATGGTACCTAAAACTTAAAAATTGTAAATTTCTACGTTAAATATAAGATTTCATTAATCTCGCTTGCCGATAGAGATCTTAAGGTCGTAGTAACATTTGAAATTCTCATAAATCAATTATTATCAAAGGATGCCGAAGATCGACCATCTTGTTTTTTTTTTATCAGCCTTTAAATGATTCCGAGCACGGAAATGTTTGTGTCTATTTAAGTTTTATACAGACGACATGTATAAATGGAATTTTTGCTATCACTCAATGATACATTACTATTACAAAAATGAGATACAGCTATAGGTTGTAACATGGCGATTTGAAATTCACGAGATAAGTCCGATAACCTTATACAGATAAATGAAAATGTTTGACCGCCAAGTAATGTATTGATAAAATTTCAGAGTATGGAATTATTATATTATTATTGTTTTTACAGTCTGTATCATTTAAATATTGATGAATTGTACACAGACGTGTTTGCTGATGCTGGTTATTTTCATAGGATCGTGTCAGCATGATGAATAAACCAATGACATCATTTTGTGCCATGACGCTTTAACGGGATGCGGTCACAAGATCAGCCTGAGAAATAGGAATAAAACGAGAATGCAGATAACAACGAGATAATACGATCTACCAGGAAACTTGGAAATACTCATTTCTATAAACATACTACAGTCATCTTTTTCCTAAGCTTAATGACCCTGCCTAAGGAAACCCCTCACTCCCTTTCACATGCTGCCTCATTGTCATTACGATGATTCACTTTTTGGACGACTCCTTTTGCGGCAGACAATAGGCGATCTTTCGTTTACTCTGACATCCAGGTTCCAAATTCATGACGCGTACATTGGAACTACTGGAGACATCGATCGGCACCATCACAAGACTACGAGAGCCTGCTAGACAAATCGTGACACGAATGACTGGAATATACCTTGGGAATGAAAGCAAAAGGAATCTGAATTCAGATAGATATATACGTGGATTATTTTGACGGCATGAAAAGCGTTCAATACGAATTCAATTGTTAGGTTAATAATGATATTTGTGAAAAGATAAAGTGTACTGACAGATATTTTAATTGAATGTCCCTAGGCCTCGACGATCGATGGTCGCAGAAAGGGTGCCTGCCTCTTCTGCCAGGAGTACTTCATGGACCTCTACCTACTGGCAGAACTGAAGACAATCTCCCTGAAAGTGACAACAGTGGATATGCAGAAGCCGCCTCCAGATTTCCGTACAAACTTCCAGGCGACGCCGCCTCCCATACTTATTGACAACGGGGACGCCATCCTGGAGAACGAGAAGATCGAGCGTCACATCATGAAGAACATACCTGGCGGGCACAACCTCTTCGTCCAGGATAAGGAAGTCGCGACTCTCGTCGAGAACCTCTTCAGTGTGAGTTCCGTACCGGGCGAGCTTTCGTAGCTCGTCTGGCCAGCTTCACCGTGGATAACAGTAAGCTCCACTCGCAGAAGCTGAAGTTGCTGTTGCTCAACGCCAAGGACAAGGACAAGGATCCCAAGTCTTCGTCTCTGATGGCCCATCTACGTAAGATTGACGAGCACCTGGGTCGCAAGGGCACGCGCTTCCTGACTGGCGACACCATGTGCTGCTTCGACTGCGAGCTGATGCCACGTTTGCAGCACATCAGGGTCGCTGGCAAGTACTTCGCTGACTTCGAGATCCCGGAAACCCTGGTTCACCTATGGAGATATATGCATCATATGTATAGGCTCGATGCATTCTTGCAGAGCTGTCCTGCCGATCAGGATATCATTAATCATTATAAGTTGCAGCAGGTAAATTATTTTAATTATTTTACGAATATTCTCCTCATTCTAACATTCACATTGCTGCTAGTATAATAATTACATGTAATCTTCCAATACGTAACAACTGTGCCATCTTGCAGAGTATGAAGATGAAGAAGCATGAGGAGCTGGAGACGCCTACCTTCACCACCAGCATCCCCATCGAGGTGAATGAAGATTAGACGGATTGGGCTATTGACGTCGGCAGGCTCGACGTCGTCGGCCCGACGGCGACCCGGCACCGTCCGCAAATCCCATACGTAGCGCAAAGAAAAAAAAAGGTTCCTGTCGCGCCCTTCAACGACCCAATGCCATCGTGGCTCGATCGTGTCGACGCTGTTTCCTAATCGGCACATGTATACACACACACATACGCACCGTAATACGTGCATGCTAATACACACCTGACACGCACGAGATTACACGTGCGTGCACGCATACACACGCGCTTACGCATATTCATTAAAAGTGCATCAAACTTAACGTAAATGAATTTATGAAATTAATCATATACCGATAAGGCCCGGTGCCGGACCTTAGATCGACAATGCTTCCTTTTTATCGCAAGAGACACTTTCAAACAACCTTTAAAGCTTACGTAACCTCGGACAACTGAATTCCACAATTTTTTGTTCACTCCTTACACACCTGTTATATATATATATACATATATATTCCTGTACCCCTTAACCTACTTCCTTAATTTTTCTTCCTATCTAGTGTTGTCATTCGCGCTTATGTACCGGAAGTACATAACTTCCAACTTCTTAAAGGTCTTCGACCTGTGCCCCTTGTCCCTTACTGATTTCATCAAACGTTTTCACTTGCTTGTGACGCGCATCATTACCTGATTTAAGTGCTCTCGTAAAAATCGGCGACGTTCATGCCGGGACGTCCTTTTTTTGACAGGAAGAAGGAAGAAATAAGTAAAGAGAAAACGTAGTACTGTGCCAAACTTGTCGAGGAATAATCACACGTTACCGGTAATTGCAATCCATAAAAAAAAAAACAATTTTTCGAATACAAAGCGAGTTGCTCCTAATCTCTTGCAAAATGTTCATCTTTACTTACCATGTACGAATATTTGTACTCGACTCTGTGTTTACTGGTAATGATTTTTTCTGTAATCTGGCAGGACTCGCAAATCATTAGTCTCTAGTGAAAAGATGAGACTTTTAGAAAATCTTATGAAACTTAGGAGTGAACCGTTTTGAATTTTCTATCATTATACGATCTACAAGTCGGTAATTCGTGCAAGTATCAATTTCACGATTATTTATGCCATTAATTGACAGATATGATCGTGTGGTACATTCAGTCTTTACCATCACACATGACAAATCAACGGACATGGCAATAAAGTAACTAGATGAAGAAACGCGAAACATCTCTCTTATCTCTGCGTATCCTTATAGCGAGTCAATGATAAACGATGACAAATTTAACCATCGCTATTCTGTATTATTATATTATAAAATATTGTATTACTACATTTTGGTTTATATTCTTAGGAGTCAATATACCAGTGTTTACAGTAATATTATGTCTCTTTATTCTTACCAAATACCTTATCGCATTATAATTCGTGAATGAATTAAAACAGCCTAAATGTCTACCAAGTCGTCCTCAACAAGAGTATGGTGAGTAATTCTCAGGATAGTCACGACGAGAAAAATATGTCTCGCCAGTGCCACCAAGAACAAGAAGAACGAATATAAAGAAAAAAATAAGTTTTCGAGGGGTTGGATAGGTGTTGGAATAAGTTTTAAAATAGGCAGCCGGCTTCCCCTTCCTCATGTTCTATTACTATGCCTTCCATTCATAAATAGGAGGTACTCGTCGTAGCGGCGGCCATCTTGACTACGTGAATGAAAGAAGCTTCTTTTATTTTGACCCGAAAACGACTTTTTGGTGTATTACGCTTATGAAGATCGAGGAAAGCATCCTTCAAGGAATATCGACGGGCAGCGCGTACAGATTTGGCTTGTGATGATAGTCAAGATGGCATGGTACAATGTTAGAAATGAGGTGCGTAGTACCGAAACGCAGTGCACAGCTGATCAGTGGTCTAGACGGACGGTCGGCGCTCGTTCGTAATTTTGAAAACGCTCGATAAAATTAACATCCAAAGTGTGATATGAGCCACGAGATAGACGGTGTTTCCTCGTGAGGAGGAATTACACAATTCGTAAACTAATATTCAGCCACGAGTGTTTTTAAAAGTGATTCAAGTGAGCGTGACCGTACTTACCTCTGGACGTTTCAATGGTTGCCGTCCGGTGAGTGTACACCTACCTTCGACAATCATTTATGATACTTACAACTACGCGTACACGACATTTCTGTTTTCGTACGCATATTATACGATGGAGTCGCTGCGTTTTTATTATATACAATAAGGCGAACCGCCAATCATGACGTGTTGACCGTTTCAGGAGTCGGGTACTGCAGGCACAATATGATTGGCACGATCTCACCTATCTATGCTTAATACTTCGGTACTCCGATTTCTCATAAGGATACATATATTTATGATTAATATACTCGATATGAGTGTTTATAGAAAGTAGTAGGAAAAGAATTACAAGCGTGACCCCGCGTAAACCTGGCACTCATGTAGTTGGCTGTTTCTATCGATACAGAAATGCCGGTTGATCATATGCTAATGTCTTAACCTCTACTATATGATATCGCAGTGCGAAATCAATTATTGTTACTGCAGTAAACGCAATGATTATTACATACATATACATATATGCATTGTAACATAATGAGATTATCCAGAAATAAAAACATTGAAGTATCACAGGAAGACGCTCAACAGTTTCTAACGACGTTACCATAGCTTCGAATTGATATACGATTCGGTTTATTTTGTAAAGATTGAGAAAAGCGTCAACGTGAGATCAGAGAGAAATAAAAATAACGTTATTTCCAAGGTTATGTTTATTTTTAACATATCCAACAGAGTCATCGACTTTTAAATTCTGTATCGAACGTCATCAGTTTCATACGAATTTGATTAACGTTTTCTTTAGTACTTTCTTCTTCAGGTTCTATCTGTCCCACCTGCGAAAATGCTTTGCCGATCTTCAACTGTTTACTATTGTCTTTTAACGTCATATGTAGAGAACTTTATTTTTAAAAGTTTACGCAAGTTGATGAATGATTGAACGATCTCTCTCTCCCTCTCATAGTCTCTTGATAGCAGTGTTTCGAAATAATGTCGGAGCCAAGGGCTTACCGACTGTCTTCCTTACCTTAACCTTGCACGGTTTGGACGACTCCCCGACGCTTCCTTCACGAGGGTCGTCGAGCTTTCTTGGCTTAATCGAACAGTACAGTAGACGTTCGGGATAAAAGCCAAAGTACACGATATAACAGAGGATTAAATAACAACAGCGTCCAATTGCAGTAGCAGAGATGCATGATTGAATGAACAGGAACAATATAAAAGTACACAATGTATAAGTGATAGAATTCAAATATGAACAGATGCATAAAAGATTTCCAATATCAATGTCTAAAGGTTCGACCTGGTTACCGTAGCGGGTGGCTTTTATTTTTAAAAGTTTGCACACGCTAGATGGATTCTCGTGGTCGTCGTTGTATCGTTTCCCGCGTACGTCAGTTTGACGGGCTGACGTAGTACGATGGGTTGCGACGCCGTTGGAACAGGTGTCGGCGAAAAGCTTCTTGTGCTTCTCGCGAAACCAATAAACTATCAAGTCTGAAACAGAGAGAGAGAAAGAGAGAGAGAGAGAGAGAGATAACCGTGTCGTGGTCACGGGTTTATTTACATCCTGTCCTATTGGCACGACTATCGGTTTCCTAGGTTTACGAAATCAGATAAGATTCTCTGGGTTTTAGTCGTCTGGATAGCAAAGTCGAAGAGCTGGAAATCCTTATTCTCTTTTTTCTCTTATTTCCTCTCTTTGAGACACTCCATTCTGGTCCCTCTTTCTCTCCATCTCAATCTTCCGTTCTCTCCCTCTGTCTCTCCTAGGTATTCCATGACACAAATATCTTCCCGGCAACCAAGAATTCCGCTTTTCCTTTCTCCTTACCTCTCGGCGAACGCACTCTCAGTCCCATACTCTCTTTTTGCTCCTCTTCGTCTTCTCCCCGCTTTTCTCTTACCTCGTTCTTTCCAACCATATCCCGACTGATTCCTAATACCGCCACCTGCCGAAGAAAAAATCTGGCACGCGTCTCAATCTCGCAATTGCTATACCAGCCTTTACCCACTATCCTAACGAAAACTGGCGTAGCTTTGGTTGTGCTTGAACGAGTTTGCACAATCGCTGCTCCTAGCATACCGGAACGAATTCGATAATATCACTTGAAAAGGCGTCCACAAAGGTCAATCTTCAGTTCATATTCAAATAAGATACTTTTGTGATCATTATTATGTCTGACTCTCAGATTATTCAAGTCACATTAATTTTACCTAAAGATGGAAAGACGGATGTCATGAATTGTCGTATCAACTAATATTTCACGTCCTACGATTTATACTCGAACAAATCTTTTACTATGTTCGTAATATCGTATTGCTCAACGTATCCTGTCACTCTAAGGATTCGTGGCCACGTGCCAGGAGGACGTCATTATTCTTTAATAACGCCTTACAGTGTGTTTACCGATGCATACGTGAACGCTCGTTTTTCAATGTTCCTCGAACGTTCGTAGGCAGCGAGAGCAGTCAAAATCAGACAGGACAAGATGGCAATGGCTAGGTATAACGCGTGTGGCACTATATAACTCGCGCGTGTGGCACGTACAGTGCCGGCTAATTATGTGGCACTCCTCCGGCACGCGGCACAGGTGTCCACCGCAACCCGGTGCCTGCCAAGTCCGCCGATCTACGTTACTGTAGCTCTCGGTTAGCCCGAGCGAACTGTGCCTTGCTCTTGAAAAATGGGTCAGTCGCGTTTATAAATACGAGGGTGTATCGGGAAACCGCATGGAAAGCGCCCCCGCTGCCATCGTCGACGAGTCTCATGCTCTCCTACGTCTTCATCCACGTCATCTTCTTCCTCGTTTGCTATAGCATTTTAGGGTTCATATGGATTTTTATTCCTTTAGTGTTGATAATGTTTTAAATTGAGCATACATATCGTATATATCATGGACGGTCCGGATTTTGCGTATATACTCACTGGCTACGACAGCAACCCCTCCCCCTTCCTTCATCACCACCCCTACATAGAGTACAGTGAGGAGAGGATGTGGACGGTAAGGACTCGATGGAAACTCGCCAAGAATAACGAAGCTTACACCTGGCACCCGCAGGTAGGCCCTGCCAGGAGGATGGGGGCCCACGATGGGGGAGTGCCACTGCTCTAACATCGCCATCATGCAGCTGTTCCATGAGCTGAAGCAGCAGTTTCCTGCGCTCCCCGACCACGTCGTCTCCCAGTGCATCGCCCAGGTAGACCCTAGAGTCCGCTTGCTCGGGGAAACCATGAGAACCTTTTGGTTATCTCTATATAGATTTTCCTCGAGTTCCTCGTTAACACCTCTCATCATGTTCATCTTACTAAGACATCGTCCTAGAGTTATCGCTTGAACTCTCTCAGGATGAACTCATCACGTTGTCACGTATCCGTCCTATCATCATTATACATACTTATTGCATGGAGTGCGCGTTGTGTTTGTTTTACAGTTAAGGGTTGTGACCCGACCCGAGGTAGTCCCGGGTAACTTTAACCCTGTAGAAGATGCACGAGACAGTAAAAATTGTATTTTTCGGGTTTTCGAGATATATATAAACTGTCTAAGGCATGCTCGATAGCTTACGGGAGGTACGCGTGTGTTGCAGAACAGCCACGATCGGGAGACATGTGCACGGAGGCTTCGTGCGACGCAGGACGCGCGGCCGTCGCCCGGCGCGTTTCCACCGCCAGCCCCTGTCCCAGCACAGCCGACCCCTTGCGCCATGAATTCCAATTCCTCGCGTGCCCATCGGCCCGCGTCCTTAGACATTGGCTTAACACGACGATGTCCCGTCACTTGCCCACGTGTACCTATCCAGCATCCGTCCCATGTTGCGCCATCCTCTGCCCCGGCGGCTTGTCCCGCCAGAGGATTCTTCGACGACCTCAACACCCCCAACCACGCCGGCTTCGAGCTCAACGTCAACGTCGCGTGCAGTCCAGCTAGCAATCGCGGTACGCATTACGTCAGCTCGAACTCTTAGATCATCATCCACGTTAACAGGGCGCGAGCTCGTATAATATATAAATATTCTAGCCTGGACTAAAGATACCCTATATATTTTAATCGTTCCATTACTACCCTCTGCCTACGAACGTGATCATATGATCAATGCGTGCTACTACTGGTCTCTGTGTGACATCCACCTTGATTGCGCTAATCCGTCTTTCTGTCTTTGCTGTGATCCTTGCGAGTTTACTTTTACTTCTCCTATGCCAGCTTTTCTTCGACTAATCGTGATCCGTGTTTATCTAATACCATTGAAGAAGATCGTTTTTGTCATAGAGTGGTTGTACCTTTTTTTTCATTTTTTTGGGGGTGGGGGGTATGTTGTTTAGATTTTCGAACGGTACCACCAAGTACCGGTAAACGAAGCGATCTGGTCGTGGAACCACGACCTCACTACGCCGACCCCTTGGCAGCGAATGTGAGTAACGGACCCAACGGTACTCCTGTGGTTGATCATACGCGAAGCTACACTTCCGTCAGTCTCACCCTGAGGCCACCGTCGTCCGAGCCACAACCACCTATCGATATACGCTCACAGGGCTCGAGTTTGACTTACTCGACATCCTCTGTCGATCCTAGGGGTTTTCAGAGTAGACTTCAGATCAGCATCGGTCCAGGAAACGTAGGCAGTGTAGCTGCTGCCAGGATCAGACCTCCTATGGGTCCTACAAGACCAACTACTCTGTTAACTCCACAGCAAACAACACCTCATCGACCTCCAGGTACCAATTAATTGATTCAATTGTAATTGACAATCGAGTAATAAATTTTTGCTTTTATCCATCAGGCCTACCAGCTGGTCCACCTAGTCAATTACCAAGACCAACGACGACCATGAGTGCTCCAACGACGACCATGAGTGCTCCAACGACACCCTCCGTTCCCCAGGTCGGCAATGTTCCTGTCGCCCCTAGCAGCCTCCCTACGACCCCTTCGGCACCCTCGACTCCACCTCCGTTGGCACCACGTGCTACAACCAACAACGCCTCTTCCTCGACGACCGCCGAACCCGCTAGATCGCCGCTCAACCAAGGTGGATTAAAGTTTTCTATCACCTTGTTGCACTTCTCATATATTTACCTGAGAGTCACACGTTCACGCGCACGCCCACGCTAGTACTCCGCAGCATCGATATTTACGCATTCCTGACCCACGCCCGGCTATACATAGAGTCACGCATACTATTACTCACGCAAATCTCTGCCTTCTACTATACTTACATATGTATGTTGTACGATACTCTGTTTTTCCTCTGCTTTACAATACTGTATTCTCTTTTCTTACACTCTGTTTTAAGTCGTTGCAATTGATTGTATTTTTTTAATCTGTACTTTGTACTGTTTTTTGCTCTCTCTGAGATTACTATTGAGTAATCAATATTGGACATCTGTGACTGTTCCGTATATGTTGTTTAAATATCATCCAACGTCATTCAGACCACCTAGACAAAATACTGTTATCTTCGAGCGATAACGACAAATCACGGTTTTATATAGGAGGACAAAATACGACTCTCCCTGCAGAATACTTGGTTCTGTTAAAAGTACCGCGTAGTACTAGCTTTACTCTCTATGGATCTTGACACTGCGTTGAGTAAGGCGGATATTTACACACGTGGACACGTCGTGCGATTCGTGTGTTTCCTTCTTTCAGTCACGGGTACGAAGAAAATATTATTCCTGTTATATGTGTTGCAGTCGCGGAGCGTCAAAGGCGGTTAGTCGAGGAACAGTTGGTCAGGCGAGATAGATTGGCATCGGAATTGAGGGCTGAAAAGGGAAGACTGGAAGCTATGAAGAGGGAATTAGAATCCCTGGCGAGACCGTTGGACTCGACGTTACCACCACAGGTAGGAGTAGAAAAATGTTTGAAAAAATTATTTGTCTAATGGCTGATCTGTTGATTTAGGAACTAAAGAGAAAGCTGAGAAGCGAAATTTATCAACTACAGGTAGAGTGCGACAGGCTTGCTGACGAGGTGGACCAGAGATCCGATCCACGAGGTGCGTAACCGACTGGACAACCTGAGTGTCCAGGAACTTTCCTATGAAATCCAGCCACACGATGACACGTTTCAGTACCTCTTGGGGAGACGAATGAGGAGTTTTATCAGGGCATTTATACGGGGCAACCGTTTGTCCCTGTGCCCTTTAATGCCAGTCCGCCACCGCTGCCCAGTCAACCTCCTGCATGGGAACCAGCCCCGTCCAGGAACACTATACCCAACGTTAATATTGATCCTGATCGAGATGATCGGGATGGTCCCTCCTGGGTCTGCAAGATGTGCACTTTCGATAATCATCCTCTGATGGACAAGTGCGAACAGTGCGACATGCCCAGGCTGCTCAACCATAATACAGGTACGGCATCGATAAAGACCTCACCCAGGTCCATCTCCATTGACAATTCGAGGCCACTGTTGTCCACGAAATCTTTGGCAGATGCGAAATCCAGAAAATAAGAATCCACGTTTGCCGATGTTTGATAATTTTGAATTAATAATCGCATGCCTCATAACGTGATACGTTTATCAATTGAGTGATGATTATCTTTTATTTAATGCTATTCTAATAATGTAACAGTACCTCGTTATTTGTGATATTAATCAACGTTTTCGCGCACGTATTGAATGTTTTATTAATTACTAGGCCGACGTAATTCCGTACCTCTTTTAGTGTACATACGATGCTTCGTGGAATATTAATTTGTATATATGGTAAATGTCTTAATAAATATATTTCATAATTATGTGCATTCGTTTATTGGCTTATTTGCCTGCCATGACCATGACGTGTGCTTTTTTTTGCGTTTACGAATTATTTGATACTGGACTGTACTATGTTGTTTAACATTACGTTTTATATTTCCTCTTGTGTACCAATGCGGAAGGTAATACTATGCTTCGTACTTTTATCACCTTACCAGCCATTAATGGATAATAGGGAATTATTGAGAGAGGGGAGGGGAGATCGTGAACTTTAGAATACAAGGTAGGTAACCTTTAGTAACGAAGCAAATCACTTTCTAGGAAAGGAGTAATAAGACGTAATGATTTTCGTGATTAGTATTTGAATAATACAAAATCTTTGCATAACTTTTCAGTATGAATGACAATTGTTTTTTTTTACGTAACCATGCAAAGCATTGTGTTAATAATTCGGTTGTGCTGTTAATTAAATCTTGTTTAATCGTCAGATATTATGTAATTCTCAGGTGAAACGCAAGATATTCATATACGAGTGACCCATCATCATAACTTTTCGCCGAGACGTAAGTGATTTTGACGGATTTAACGATTTCGTAATAGATGTCGTTAGAATAAAAAATTGAGGGATGTTAATTATATTGTTTACAGGAACGGTGCATAGTTGGGTGGTATGATGTGAACTGAATTAGAGACCTAAAAACTGTACATATAATTATTTTAATTAAATAAAAAGAGGTAATAGGGATTTAAGTGACTGATACGAAAATGTGACTGTAATAATTAATTTAATTTTTTATTTGCGATTAGCATATGTATTGTACTTAAACTCATAAAGAATTTAATGTGTAAAATCTTTGTTCTTACATTGAGACTAAATACTAATCCAAAATGATTTTTTACTAGCCAGAAATTCCAATACATTTTTCCTTTTTGTATTCTATACGGAATAATAAACGCCACCGACGTCATTGCAGACCAGAGAGTACATACAGTACATTACATTCTGGAATCGCAATTCGTTCCAATAAACGCAGAAAAAAATGTAACAAAAATAAGAGCAGGGCCATGGTCTCTAATTATATAGCTGTACCACGTTCCAGATTAAGTTTCGTTTCCCGAGTGTGCTCTCCGTAGAAGCGCTCAAGTTTCTGGTTAAACTTGGCATTCCGTTCATTAATATAATCTATATCAGCATCGTCATTGTGCATTCTTCTTCTGCTGTACTTCTCACGTTTAGCAATTCTGTAAATAATAAATAGGGTATTGTAAAAATACTGTCACACTACCTTTTTGTTCATATCCAATAATTCAAGATTTTGACATACTGTTTTTCCAAGTCATCGACCATCCTATCCACAGCATCCTTTTTGTCATTGTGAAGACCATGTAAAATAGTGTTTCTATCTCCATAGAAAGCAGGTCCTAATTTTTCCTTAGCTTCTTCGTAAGATTCCATATTAGGCTTGATGCCTTTCACTAATCTGTTGTATTGTCTAATAGTGGCTTGTTCAAAGTCCGCAAACCCAGGGTCTGGATTCTTTTTCTTCCTCTTCCTATCAAGTCTTCCTGCTTCGATGGCATCCATGTTCAGGAGTTTGGCTCTGTCATAATCAATTCCCTGGAAAAAGATGTACATAATATTTTTAAATAAAAAGACAGCTTATTTTTTGCAACCGTACCTTAGCCTCTGCTTCCTTCCTAGAATTCTCATCTTGCATTATCCATTCAGCCTGTCTCTTGCGAGCTTCCCAATTGGAGGGTAATTTCTTTCTCTTGTCCTCTTCAACAACTTCCTTGTGGTTTTGTTGTCTGGCTTCGTTCTATGCAAAGGTATGTGATTATTTATGTTCTTAGTCCTTTGAGGTTAATGTAACTCACTCTTTTTGCGTGAAGATCCCGCAAACGTTTCATTCGTTCGGCTTGTTTTTCTGCGAAAGTCTTCGCACTCGTGGACGCCTCGTCGCTCATTGTTTTGAAAGACAATTTTCTCTTTTTTATACCGATATTCCACTTCTCTACTTATTAAGAGTATACTCCAAACGTAAACAGGGTATCACACCATATAAATACAATGCCACAATGGCCGACAATATATTTAGTGGTGACGTATTCATTATTGCTTATATGTCCTGTGTTCATTCATTTATTTAAAAAATCAAGAATTACGTTAATATCCCGAGAGTGTCACAAATATTCCATCATTTTCGAGTAAATTGTCTTTGCGATCAATCAGATATCATTATTTAAAAATATTACGAGCACTAACAAAAAAAAGATGATTCATGCCCCTATTAAAAAAGCAGTATCCTCAAACCATATTTTTTAGAATACTGATTAAATTAAAGGGAAGGTCTAATATTTAAAAAAATCAATGTTACAATGTATCACAATGTTTCACGCTAATTCTGAAAATAAATGTATTATATCAGCATCGTATAGCATTCCGCTATATAATCATTATCATTAATCAATTATTTCTTTGTTGGCAGTTTTACTAGCGTTCTAAGTACCATATAAGGTATCCGTAATAAAAATCATTTAATTAGTATTCCCCCTATAAAATCATAAATAACAAGGAATATATCATCAAATGTTCTGTTTTCAAAAACAAGCTTTCAAAAGCTTACTTTAGCCATGTATGTTATGCATGCGGTTCTGCGATTGGATCGGTGTATCAACCAATAGCGTTACCCGAATCCTACAGGCTGTAACCTCGAGAATCCGATGTCCACTGGGCGTAAAAGTGCTCGCGTTACCAGCGAGGCACTGCGTCACGAGTAATATACTCTGTAAAGCACTCGCGATTTCATAAGATTACACAGTAGGTAGGCCGCGTTGCGGTTCCAACCAAGACTACAATACATAACGCTTAAATTCAAGACCGTTTGTAATATAAAAGAGAGAATCGTCCACGAGGTCCCTGTGAACGGCGCGAACGTACGGACATTTATCGATGGAGACATTGGAGTCGAGTCGCATGTGCCGCCTTTGCGGCAAGCAATCCGGCATTTGCATCAACATATTTGACGAGAAGGAGAATCACGTCAGGAAGATCAACGCAGTCCTTCCGATTTTGGTAGGTGCAGTCTCTGCCTTCTCCTCTATCATCGAGCCTAAGAGCAACTGGCTTCACTATATAACTAGAAAAATTTAATGTTGTATGTCACGGCTTTTTTACTTCTATTACGGCCAGAAGTTCTAACTAGGCTTCGGTGCTCCTCAACATTCTGACACAGAACATATCTCTTGAACGCTCCAAAGCGTTCTCCTTCTTTCTTTACCAGTCGATTCGCTGCTGTAAATGGGGATGGCGTATAGTGGCGCCAGGAGGTTTCGCTTAGAATGAGTGGGATGATGCGCTCAGTGCAGCCCATAGTGCAGTTTGCCGATGCATTGCCTACTGAGTTATGCAAGACTTGATATTTCAAATCTCACCTGTTATATTTGACATCTATTTCGGTGATAATTATTAGGATAGACGTTCAATTAATAGTTTCCGCTTGGTACTTTTTTAAATTGATTTTCTATAGAATACTTTTATTTATGCATAATTGCGTTACGGACGTAAGAAATTTTCCGGAGTTAATGGTGGAATTATATATTTTCAGGTACATGAAATGGACATGCTTCCGAAACATATGTGTCATCGTTGCAGTTATAAATTAGAGGAGTTTCATAAATTTTACATTGACTGTCTTAAGACGGATGCGGATTTGAAGAGTCAGTTGTCTTGGATGAGGAAAGAGGACTTTACAGAAGATCTTGGGGTTCCTATGGTTCACATTGAAAATATTAGAATCAAAACGGAACCTCCAGAATATGATATATATGATTTGGACCCTATCTCGGAGAACGTTAATTATATTAATTCTATGAGCTCTGTCAGTTATCGTGTTAATAATAATAGCTGTACTGATGAGATGCATGAGAGATTAGGTTATTCGAATTTTGATAGTTGTACGCGATGCAAGTGTGATTTTGATCAGAATAATAGCACTGATAAACTGTTATCAAAGGAGGACTGCGGTAGAACAAAACCTGTATATTTACGTGAAAACTCGAGTCGTAATAATTGCAATATATCCGACATAAATATACCTGAAGATACAAAGATCCAATGCGAAATTCCAACAGAAGTACAAGGAAACAATAACGAATCTGAAAGTTGTGCCGATGACAGGAGGTCCAACAGCTGCACGGGAATGGCTACTTCATTAAAGAATGCCGTAGTTGTAAATATTGACAAGAAATTAAGAAATATTTCGGCAACGTATAAATTGCGGCCTGGAAGGAGATCTATAGATTGTGACGGTAATAAAAATAAAATAAGAATTATATCGACATTGAAGGAAAATAAAATAATTAGAAATATCAAGGACCAAGACGTGATAACAAATATGAAACAGGAGCCACCTGATCATCTCGAGAGACGTATTTTAAGACCGAGAAAAAATATAATTGATTATATGCAAACGAAGAGACGGTCATCTAAAAGGGAAAGAGACACTCTATCAAATTCAACGAATAACGAGTATTATTTAAAACGGCATAAAATTCACGAGGACACGGAAAATACATCAAGTGCACAAAGTAGAATAAATGAATCAGTAATGAAGAAAGAAAAAGAGGATGACTATGAAAATTGTACGACCGATATGCATATTAACAATAGATCTTTATTCCCGAATAAACAAAACTGCATAAAAAATCTAATGAAATCGTTCGATCCGACAACCAATAATGTTATAGTTAAATTGGAGCAATGCGTGCCCGACTGTGTGATAATAGACGATAAGAAAGCTAATAATAGTTTCGATATAATTGAGCAAAGAAAGTCCTTACCGAACGTTTCAAAAAAGAAACTAAAATCTGAGAAAATTGCTATAAAGCGCATAGCAAAAAATAATAAACATTTTGCACCAAAACATTTGAGAAGTCAAGATGCACAACTTAGAAGCGGCAAAATATTGAATTATGAGAGTATACCTAGATCCACCAAGAATTCAAAAAGAAATATTTTCAATACCACCAAAAATAATGCCGGTATAAAAAAAATTACCGTTTCCACAAAATCCTTGACCAATATAAAATATTACTGCGAGAAGTGCAATTTCAAATTCGCGAATAAGGAACTTTATAAGTTGCATGCCTGCTATTACGATTAATACGAATATCCTTTTAAGTTTTATATAGGTGCTTTAGATAAGACATTGATTACATATTTCTATTGAAAAAAGTGGCAGAGATGTATATATTTTATTGTTATGCACGTATTTTTGTGTAAACATTTAAATTACCTTTGTCCAGGTCTATTTTAAACGGAAGGCATAAATAATTATACACAGTACATACATGCATATTTATATTGTATGATAAATATCCTTCGAAGAAGATATATTTTAAGATTATTAAAAGATTTTTCAGTTCGTACGAAGAATATATTATTGTGATATCAATCAATTTCGACTGCCGAAATATAAGAATCAATGCGTGCTATTATGTCTTCATTGTAAATAATAAATCATGTTAAAAATTTTCTAAACCGTGTGTCACACGTTATATTTTATGTTGATGCCAATGTGTGCATTAATAACCCAGTAAAAACAATATTATACGTAACATGCGTATTGTAATTTCGAACTCACATTATAATGTAACAGTCATGTTATACATACAGATGTTACAAAAATGAATGGAATATTACAACTAATTTGCACCTTACATGTAATATTGTCTTTGCTGGGAAGCGTCTGTATCATAATCACTGACATGAGAACGAATAAGTTATCAATAATAGCATAATAACCATGTATCGAATTTGTATTATCTTGTTCCCATATAGTTGCTAGATACATTCTATTATATTAGCGTATCAAGCGATTGTACGTATGAAGTAAATTATGCTGGTTAACATCGCTGAACGTTACATTACTTTTTTATAAAAATCTATAAGGCATGTTTCTCACTGACTAAACATACGAAGGATTCACTTTGTTATTAGGAATCGACCAATAAAGTGAAATTGAAAATAGAGAGTTCGTACGTTCCTGCTTAAACCGAACCAGCTCACTAGAAAATGTTTTACTGATAACGATTGTCTGCTAATGGGGTAGCTGAATTTATTATGAAGTAAGGGTGGCGTGAGTGTGAGTATGGGTGTGAGTCCCTGAATTCTAGCTTCGCACGGCGCTGAGGGAGCGAGTCACAAAATAACAAACAAACAAAAAGCGAACAGATGTCAAATGATGCCGGGATGATGATCAATTATACGTTTTATCGGAATTTTATGGGCGGTCAGTGAGAGTTGTGTGAAATGTTTCAGAACGGGAGGAACTCACCAGTCCTAGAAGACGTAAGTTAACTGGTGATGTCTATAACAGGAATACTGCAAATATATACTTAACCTTAGCTTGTAGCAACTGACATTCATGGCAGTTTGATGGCTCCGTTTTATTGTTCCGTCGTAATTCAGCTTTTATGAAGTCTATGCAGTATACTGAACCATTCTTTGATTGGCTACTATACTGATGATTTTTTTATACCTACATTTCGTTACATAGAATATCTCCGGTATCAATATTTTATTGTGTTTATTTACTCTGACAGCTTCTTTCAACTGAAGAAGATACCCTAGGATCTTCTATTAGTCTCAGTGTGGGAGAAAATTCTATTCGTATAAAGGAGAAGTCAAAGCCTACCAAGGAACCTGATCACATTGCCGAAGAGATTGAGAAGGAGAGATGGTGGTTGAAAAAAGTCGAGACACGTCCAGGTGTTGCGGATGTAAAGAAATTAGAAGTAAGGGGGAAACCGTCACCTGGTCCTTCTCCCGATGTAACTTCTTCCATGGCAGAGTTTCTTGAAAAAGAAAGACTGTGCAATGTAATATACCATTCTGTGACCAATGTCTCCTGTATTGGTTTTGTTGACTCTTCCATAGTAGTTTGTTTTTCATGCGTGTCTATGTTAGTTTTCATTGTGATCGTATACAACTTACTACCTTTGCACAGAAAATATCTTCAGAATACTAAGCATGTACTATTGTGACATCTTTGGAAGATTGTCAAGAGAACTATTATTTATATTAATGTAACCGAAATATATACTGTAAGATGCATTTTATGGATACATAGGTTGCGTGTAAAAGTGAAGCTGAGGCCAAGGACAAGGATGATACACTTTGCGATGTACTTGCATCTGTAGCATTTGATAAGTATCCTTCAGATTTTGAAAGTAAGTATGTTCTATTTTAATAAAAGGATCTTGTTATTAACGTATATCTTCTATCTGTATCAGATGCCACAGATGAAGACATTGGCAGCATCCTGGAGGAAATGAGTAAGATTGCAGGAGCGCTGAGTCCAAACTCTGGCCCAGATCACACAAAATCTGGGAGTTCTGGTAAGAATAAAACAGAAGAAGAAAGATCTGTCGAGGAGCTGTTAGAAGAAGCTGAGAAACTAGTAAAGAAAAATACACATAGTCTTTCAAAAAGTGCTTCGAAGTCTGATACTTTAGTGCCCAACAAAAATTTAGATACAACTGAAAATCTTGGAAGAGTCAGACAACTAGAAGAAGACATATTTCAAATGATAGAGGAAGAGGTTCACAAGGAGTCGGAAAAAATTAGGAGGAGTCCTAAATACGAGAAAAAGAAAGATATCAATCAGAGTTTTGAAATAATTTATGAAAATGTAAACACATTAAAACCTCCTAAAACTCTAGAATTACAAAGGAAGAAATTCGAGGAACAGAAAGTTGAAATTTCGAGTAGCTCAGATTTAGACGACCCTATAGAACGACACTCGAAATCAGAGGAATTAAAAGTTGCCACAAAAGTTGAAGCCAATGATAATTTGCAAAAGGAAATAACGGACGTGGATAAGGATTTTTTCGACGATTTATTAAGGAAATCCAAAGAAAAAATTGAGGGTGGTATGTCCGCTAGTTCCAGTTTTGGTCAAGAAGATTTTTCGCACTTTTTGAAACTTCTACAGGATCAAAGCGACAGGAAAGAACGTGAACCTAAGGAAGCTATGAGTTCTTATAACGTTATAACAAGGCATAATCAACCAGGAGGCAGCAGCAACAAGGGTGAGAGCGAAACTGCTTTTGCTAAAAGCCCAGCATTTCCAGAAAAAGAATTTTCTGAAATTCTGGAAAGAGAATTACTAAAAGTAGACAAGAAGAAAGAAATGCACGAAATAGCAGAATCAGAATCCAGTACCAGTGCCGGACGCTCCGCTCGTTCCGAAGGATCGATTAAGAGAGATGCGTCGATGTCAAGAAATTCCAGCCTAGATAAATCAAATAAATCTGATAGTGGAAGAAAGGATAATATGTTATCAAGTGTTGAAGCTGTTAAATCAAATGAATCTAAGGAATCCAAAGTTGTAAATGCCAAGAATGAACTGTACACAGTGGGTTTGACACCACGATTGGAATTGTTCGCTGATGCAATTCCTAAATTAATTGCTGAGAAATCGAGTGAAAATTTTAAGAAACAAGAACTCGATAGAATTGAGAATGAAAAGGATGCTAATCGTGTAACAAGGACTTGTGTATCCGACGAGAGCAAAGTACAAACGGATTCAAAAAAGTTACGAGAGGACCATAAGAAGATGATTAGTACCGCAGGCCCGTCTAATATGAATTTTCAAAAAATAGGATCCGATACGGCAAGATCAGATCGTATTCCTGTGGCGTTGGATAATAAGATTGGTAAAAAGGGAATAAAGTTCGCTAAATCTAAAAGTTATGATCACATTTGCAAACCGATTACGAATCTGAAGTTATCCCTCGATGATGTCAAGAATATCAAAAGCGCTGATATTCCAAAGAGAACTGTACCGCCAGCGGCGAAGAAATCTCCTTTATCGAAGACAAGACTACAAACTAAGTCAGTTTCTAAATTTACTCCCACAATGAAATTGTCTCCCAAACTTCGAAAGGATTCACCGAAAGAAAATTCTGCACCATGCTTGGCTTTTGGGTCCAGGGTAACCATGACTAAGTCCACGGACAGCATTTTGAAACATTCATTAGCTGGTGGCGACACCAGAAGAAATTTAACTAAAAATGATTGGGAAAGTTTATGTCACGAAGAGCGGCACAAGAACGCACTTTTGAAAGGTAAGTGTTCAATTTCCTGATTATGTCAAGATTTGTATTTTAACAGTGTAAAATCAATTCCTTTGCATTCCACAGAGCAGCTGAATTCCGAGGCCAAATTGTACAAGACTCAAATAGAAAGTATGCGCACGTCTTTCGAAGAGGAACTGTTCTCCTTGAGAAAACAAAACATAGTATTAAAAGCGAAGGTCGATGAACTCACATTGAATGAGAAGAGATCAGAATATCATGTTAAGAGCGATACTAAAACATTAAAGTTAGAACGAGAATTAGAGAAGCAAGAGAGTCTCATAAGAGCTTACGAGGTGGAGAATAAGAAGTTGATGCAGGAAACAAAGCGTTTACACGATGAGGGAAAAAATCTTCAGCAGAAGCATAAGAACGTGATAATGGAATCAAACGAATTTCAAAAACAGGCTGATCGTATAAAGGATCTGCAGGAAGAGGTGCTAAAGTTGAATTTGGTAATAGCTGAGCTCAAGGAAAAGAATACTGACTACTTGATGAGGAATGAGGATCTGAATCAGCAGAATGGGTTGCTTAAGGACGAACTAGAGATGTTCAAGGAGCAATTGTGCACTAAGAATAGCTCTGTAATGGAACGTCTACAAGCGATGACTACTAACGAGTTAGAAATGAGGAAGCAAATAGAAGACATGAAGGTGGAATTGAATTCTAAGAAGGAACTTTTAAAGTCGATGAAGTTGGACTACGAGAGGTTGCAACAGAACTCTTTACCTCTGGAAAGGGAGCTTCTTGAATTAAGAGTCAGAGAAGGTGGATTGACGGAGAAGTTGCAAGTAGCTAAGAGTCACGTTGAGAGAGAGAAGCAACTTACGCAAAAACTGAAAGATCAGGTGATCCTAGACAGTAAAAAAATCATGGATCTGAACAGACAGGTACGAGAAATGGAAAGGATCCTTAAGCGAAAAAATCCGGATTCGGTATCAGCTCTTATATTAACAGCAAACTCAGAACATGAAAGAGTAAGTGTAGAGAAGGTGAAACTCCTAGAGGAAAGGATTGTTTCTCTGGAGAATGAAATAAAAGCAAAAGAAAACATATCCCAGGAGAAGCTTGCAGATTTCCAGAATAAATTCACTGAAATGAAAGAAAGATATTTGACTCAAGTAATGGAATTAGAAGGAAAGTTATTAGAAGCGACTGTCAAAGATCGTAAGGTCTATAATGATATGTTCACACAAACAATGTTGAAACATTTAGAAAACAAAGGAGTGGAAACAATTAGAAATCAAGATAAGGAGAAAGCCCCAAGCGTTGAAAAAGAAGAAAAAAAAGTAACAAAAGTGGGTCCTAAGTCTCAAAACGCGAAAGAAGACACTCATTTAATAGCAACAATCAGAGGTCTTAAATTAGAACTTGCCAACAAAGATAAAACTGTATCAAAGCTTACAAAGGAATTTCAAGAATTGCAGAAAACAAATCGTAGACTGCAAAAGGAACGTGAAAAGTTATTAAATGATAAAAGGAATTTCAAGGGTGTTGATGCTGATAAGCTTATTGCAAACAAAGTTACTGGGATGGATTCCAGACCTGCGAGTTCTAAGACTACTGATTCTAATGATCAGAATTCAAATGTATATCAAAATGGTAACGTGGCCAATGCAAATCAAAGACTTTCTAGTTCCACCCAGAGACTTTATGACCCGTTACAGTTCTCTGAAAATTCTGAAAATGCTACAACGAAGAGATTAATCAACGAAAATGAAATCCTCAAAGAAGAATTAAATAAAATGAATAAAGATTTCATGGCGCTGAAAAATAAACGTCTGCATGATCTAAATTTGCTGCAGGAGGAACACGAACGTGAAATGGCGGCTCTGGTTAAAGAGTACAGCGTGAAGTTCGGCGATTCGAAAGTGGTAAAGTTGCAGGTCTGTAAAGATTGCGCGTTTTGGCTCGCACCTTTTTTTAACATATTTTTTTATCAATAACTGCTTAAAATCACCGAATTGATCTTTTCAAACAAAAGTATATACATATAGATTGTTTCAATGCATTTTTGTATATTGTACTATTTTTTTTTATAGGGTCAAATAAATACACAGGTAGCAATAATATCTCATCTAAAGCAACAGATTGAAAAGCTCAGGGATAATAAAGAGCAAGTTATTGTTCTAAAAGCTGAAAGAGAGCATCTCGAAAATAAAGTAAAAACCCTGAATGAGAAAGTGAAATACTTATCCACACCAGTTAGTAATGAATGACAATTAATAAATCATGCCATGACACTGTTGCTAATCCATAATATTTCAGGGTACTGAACAACTTCAACTACTACAAGACAAGATCACTGTACTACAGCAACGTCATGAGAGTCGTGAGATGACATTACAATCTTTAGTACGTGACTTACTGAGGACCAAAACTCAGTGTCGTGATTGTAAAGGTGAGAGAGGCAAGAACAAGCAGCTGTGTTACTTTCGACAAGAACTGGATCATATCCTAGGCATGCTCCAGGAACTTGCAAATGTTTACTGATGATAAACAGATGATTGGAGACATCGAGTATAGAAGGAATACTTAGAAGACTGGAATCTTGTCGAACACATTCAAGATTCTAGATTTTTCTCTTGCCAATGGATACGTAGATAATTTTTGCCATTAGTGGCAGAATCAATCCTTCCAAAAAAGTGACTGAATAATTGCACATGACTTGAGAGTCTCTTTCCTTGACCTTTAGCATTCCTCTCACTGCACCTGAAACACAATTCCAATCATGTTCAAGAATAGACTGAAGTCTGTTGTTATACTATCCATGTAAAAGCGACAAGTTATGCTACGTAGTAATACGCAATGCATTGCTTGCATAAAGATTAAAAATATTTTAACTGGATTTTACTTGGTTATGCGATAGTGTTGACTCACTGCCAGACAAATTAACAAATGAGGGTTAGGATAAAAATTAAAAAGAAGAATGAGATCTATGGAAAATAACGACAGGCTCTCCTAAAGTAGATTCTAGATTTTCTTCCAGAAAGAATATGCTAATGTTTTTATAGAACTTTTTTCTAGACTTTGCTGTATATATGCTGATAAGTTATTGGCAACATTTGTAGTATTGTCTTTAACATTGCTGTAGCAGAGCCAAATGTGATGATTAGTTTATTGACAATTGGGCATTGTGTACGATTACGCAAAGCGTCTCGTATATCGAATATAATTTATAAGCCCAGGCGCGAAACTCATATCTTTAATATAATTTTTTTTTCCTAAAGTTCTTTCAAGAAAGCTCGCACACGCCGTTGAGCATTTATGTACCTAGCACATCGCACACGCATTACATTTTTTACTAGCTTTAAGTCCACGAACATGATGTACAAAATTGAAATTATCTTTAATAAAATAGCTTTTGTCGATTCGAATATACAATACTTATATTGTCTATTTATTTTTGGAATTTTTTAACGCATGAAATTCTGGTTGTAATACAAATATTCAAAATAAATCGTTTGAATGCTTTATTCACAATAAAATATTTGATTTTACATAGATATAAATATACATTTCAGTTGCGTACTATAATAATTTTATATTTTAACATCTTTTGCTGTACATTAAAATTCACGTTTATAAGCTTCAACAAATTTTTTTCATTTAGTTTTGAATAACAATAACGAGTTACAGTTTAGGCGGACATATAAGAAGCGATTAAGCGATTTCCTGATTGATCATTCAGTTCTAGCAAAAGTAGTTCACCATACAAGGAAGCGACTGGTTTGCCGGAAGATGTCTCTGCAAAAGAACGCTCTATGAATAACCCACATGAGTGTAAGATCACTATTGTAATTAGGTGATCATTTAACACTTACCCGAACAAAGTGCCTTTCCCGTTGTAAATGGAAGCTCCATACAAAACGCAAAGTGTCATTACCAGTGCTTGCCGTAATATTTCGTAAATCGTAGAAACCGCTATATTTGCTTCCGGTATTTTAAATCCAGCCTCAGTCTTCGAACGTTCTTGGTAATTGATTCTTTCCGGTCCACGAATAACATATCTTTCGTACCTTGAGCGAGATTCGTCTACCTTGCGGCGGAGGAAACGTTCTTCGCGATCCTGAGTATTTTTTAAGTAAAATTCACGAACACGAGATTCCTTTTCCAGAGTGCGATCACGAGAGATCCGATCATTATCTCGAACTCGGTCTGAGGTACGACGATCGATCAAAGATCGATTATTTCTTTGGCGATTATCTTGAGCGTTTCGATTATTACGTCGGAGAGTGTCGACCCAGGATCTTTCTGTGGAGTGACGATCAGCTCTTGATCGAGAGATGAGCATTCCTTGACGATCATCCTGGATTCGATTTGAGGTACGACGATCAGTTAAAGATCGAATATTTCTTTGGCGATTATCTTGAGTGTTTCGGGTATTTCGTCGGAGAGTATCGACCCAGGATCTTTCAGTAGGAAGATCAGTTTTGCTTGTGATTCCCACAAGATTCTTAAATCTGATCACTGATGATCGTCGTTCTGTTATTTCTTTAGACCTTTGTGTAGTGGGTGAAACCATCCTGCGGTTGCTAACAGTTTGAATACGATCGTTGGATCGAGAACGATCATTATTTACATGGCGACTATCGATCCTATTGAGTTGGTCCTTTTGATCAGAAACTCGACTGTTGTCAAGAACAGTTACTCGACGAGTATCGATTCTAGATTGGTGACGACTAAGATCGTTGAATTGACGGGCGTCGATCCTTTGACGATCATTCTGAGCGTTTGAGCGACGAATATTGATCTTGATTTGACGATCGGTTTCATCGTTTACACGACGTGTGGCAATTTTATCTCGACGCTCATCGATACCTAGACGAGTATCGATCCTGCTCTGGCGATTGTTACGATTAACTCCGTGACGAAAATCGATCCTTGTTTGACGATCTTCGATGCTTCTTACACGTCGCATATCTGTCGGAATTTGACGTTCATTTAAATCTCTTACACGACGTACGTCTTCTCTAAATCGGCGACTATCGAGATCATTTACACGGCGCACGTCTTTACCAGATCGGCTAGTCTCAAAATTCTCTACACGACCCATATTGATCCTTACTTGTCTGTCAGTGACGTCTCGTACACGACGTAGATTGTTCCTAACTTCACGGTCTAGATCTCTCTCATGATGAATATTTGTTCTAGGTCGATCGTTAAGATCACGTACACGTCGTACAAAATCCCTATCGCGAGATACACGATCCAAAGATCGAACTCTTTCACGTACTAATGAATTTCTTCGGGAGTCCAAATCACGACGTTCCGAGGAGAACCTTCTTTCCACTATAAAACGTTCGGTTCTTTCTGATCTACTATCATCGAGCCTCGGTAAACTTCGCTCTCTGCGTACGTTGCGAATCGTTGAAACCTCGCGTTCTCTTCTAGCGTCACGATTGACCAGATCAGAATGTTTTTCACGGCGTATATTAGAAGTGCGACGTTCCATCGATCTAGATCGGACCACCGTTTTCGATGCCCTCTGAAATGTTTCCAAAGTGCGTGAGAATTTATTCAATCGATTTTCACGGGCAAAACGATCTTCGCGTGGCTCATCAAGATGGTTCCTAGTTCGTTGTAGATCCAAACGATCTACGGATCTTCGGGATTGTCTTCTAGAAGCTTCTACTGATCTTTCGCGATACTCTCGCCTAACCGATTCAACAGATCTTTCTTTACGATTCATGTCCATTTCTCGTCTTTCCGTAAACTGAGCTCGTGATTCGTCAAGATCATTGGTTCTTGCTAGGCTTGATCGAGTATCTCCAAAACTTGAACGACGTGTTCGAATATTCCTTGAGATACGAGAATTTAAAACGTTACGTCTGTCTATTTGAAGATCGGTAGATCGAGTATTCCTGGTGGTCCTATCAAGACGATCGTTATTAATACTAGTCGGTAAACGAGCAACGCGTCTCTCATCACGACGATCCCGAACATCTCTAGAGATTCTACGATTGGTATTAGCCCGATATCTTTGCAAATACGTATCTCGATCAGATTCTTGAGAAGTGCGTTCAGATCTTTCTAGATTTCGTGAACGAGAGAGAAACTGGCGTCTCTCATCGCTTCTGGCAAATCGGCGATCGCTGTTATATGCTTCTCTATCGGTACTTCGGGATCTGATATCGGCAATTCGGCGACTCTCATCAATCCTGCTTCGCGATCGAAGATCAATCTTGGTCCTAGCAGGTCTGGCAGTGTCGTGGACCCTCGATCGCTTGTTCGACAGTCTGGTAGATCGGTCTAGGACGTTAGAATCCTCTGTCCTGCTTCTAGAGATCCGAGTTGCGCTGGACATGCGATTCAATCCGTAATTTGTAATCGTGGACAGTTTTTCCGAAACCAGGTCGTCAGCAGAAGACATCCGGTTGAATGGATTATCATTCGGACAGGCATCAATCCTATGGAAGCATATGAGAAAAATGTTAAAAAATGATTTGAAAATAAAAAAATCTTCGAGAAAGAATTTCAGTGTATTACTCATGGGGTGCTCCATGCTGCAGTTCGGGACCCGCAAGACTTCCGGCCTGACCTTCTCTATCTCTAGAGACTAGACCCAGGGTAAGGCATGCTAAAGAGACGGTCATCAGGCCTATATACTGCCATGATCGTACTGGCAGTATGACGTGACGTGTCTTCCGCATTCTGAAGAAAATCAAAATCAGATTTTTAACTGAAGGCTAGAAATTTTGAATAGTGTCTATTTTGTAGTACTGTGAAGTACAATGAGTACTGAAGGACACCTTCACTCTCATGATCTTCTCATGACTTTAAATGTAATAAAATTTTTTGGACTTCAGTTCTGATTTGTCGACCAATTGCTTCAAGTACACAAACGTGATAAGTATGCAAACTTTTACTTACATCTTCCAAGTCTTTTGAGAGTTGCCAAAGTTGAAAGTTCTTCCTGAGGTTCTTCGTGCTCCACAAGATGCTTCCTCGATGGTGCTCTAAGAGCAGCTAGTGCAGAGTGCCCTGATGGAGCTGGTTATATACTAAACCCGGCTCGTAATTTAATAGAAGTGCAATCTGTGGTTATCAGCTAGGGCCACATGGGGCTCGTGCATTGAGGCGCGAGAATCCCTCTCGTAGGCGGCGAAATGTCGCGCGTAGAAAGATTATAAAATGGCAGTCTGATCGAGGATTATCCATCTGGAAAATTGAAGCTAAGAAATATGGCGAGTTTCGAATTGACAGTATAACCATAGAAGCTATCTGATTCACGAAAATAACTGATTTTTCGGTCCACATAATTCTATAAAACTTTAATAATCGGTGGTGCTACTCTTACTTAAAATAATACACTGGTTCTTTATTGAATTACGTTGTAAGCTTATAACTTTGAAAATTTTTATTTATACGCGTGACTGATTTTTCAAGATGATATTACTTTATATAATCAGTATACTGTACTCTAGGTTTTCACTTTCAATATTTTTCATATGTAAACTTCAATTTTAGCTTTTAAGCTGCAAGGAGTTGGGAAGTAATTTTTGAACTCGAGTACTCTTATTTCCATTTTATTTTATACAAAACACGCATTACAAAGCATCTGCGGTCAGGCTACATTAAAATACTGCTTATAAATATATGTACACGGGTCACGCTCCTTCGCGCAAAATTTTCCAAATTTTGTCGCCTTGGTTCAATTTAAATTACATGGTCGTAGGAGGCTAATTCGACCACAACCCAGTTCGAATAGTCGATTGAATTAATTATTTAATTACAATCGAGAAAGTATTTGTATAAATTAATAGCGCCGATTTACAGATTTGAAAATATACAAAGGTTTTCGGGACAAGTGAATTTCCTTTTGGTTTTACTCTTCTCTAGAATCGAACGAGAAGACGCCATTGTGAAATTGAGAGTGTCAAGATGATAAGCACTTTAAAAAGTGGACTGTTGGTCCATATGTTTTCACTACCGGAAATCGCCATTAGTTCACTACAAATATTAGTGTCGTTCGTTTCCGGTAGGGCCGTAAAATTCGGGAACATCTGAATAGCCCCAGGCTGAAATACAAAAGACAATTGCATTTAATAATATCATATAATAAAATAAATTCAAAAATGTTGTCTCATCAATTAATGTCGTTTTTTTCTCATAGATGGCATGAACTGTACAGTTCATGTAGTAGTGATTGCGTGGCTTACATTATTATATACTATTTTAAAGGTTAGACTTTAAACTATCTTCAGTCAAAAACTGAGCGTCATTAGTAAAAGTCAAGTTGGTTAAAAATCACGTTAAAAATGGACAATCAAAGAGAGCATATTTTATTGTTTTATTTCCGAAAGGGAAAAATGCGGTGCAAGCTCGGAAGAAATTATGTGAAGTTTATGGTGAGGACTGCCTTACCGAACGCCAGTGTCAGCGTTGGTTTGCTCGCTTTCGCTCTGGAAATTTTAATGTGCAAGATGCACCACATACTGGTCGTCCAACCACTACTGATGACGACAAAATAAAGGCGTTAATCGAAACTAACTGGCGTATGACAACTCGAGAGATAGCAGAGAAGCTCGACATATCGAATTCAACCGTTTACTTGCACTTACAACAACTTGGTTATGTAACTAAACTGGATGTTTGGGTTCCTCACGAATTAAAGGAAATCCGCCTCACCCAACGCATTAACATCTGCGACTCTTTGCTGTATCGTAACCAAAAAGACCCATTTCTAAAAAGAATCATAACGGGTGATGAAAAATGGATTGTTTACGATAACGTAGTCCGAAAACGATCATGGGTCAAGCAAAATGAGCCCCCACAATCAACATCCAAAGCCAATATTCACCAAAAGAAGATTATGCTTTCTGTGTGGTAGGATTACAAGGGTGTAGTCTACTTTGAGCTGCTTCCAAGAAACCAAACGACTGATTCGAATGTCTACTGTCGTCAACTATCAAAATTGAACGAAGAAATCAAGAAAAAACGCCCTGAACTGGCCAATCGCAAAGGCGTGATGTTCCATCACGATAACGCCAGACCCCATACCTCATTGATAACCCGTCAAAAATTAACAGAGCTCAATTGGGAACTGATGCCACATCCACCCTATAGACCTGACTTAGCACCATTGGATTACCATTTGTTTTGCTCCCTTCAAAACCATTTACATGGTAAAACTTTCGCTTCCGATGAGGCTGTTAAAAATGAATTGGACCAATTCTTCGCTTCTAAAAAGCAAAGCTTCTTCGAACGTGGAATTTTTCAACTTACCGAAAGATGGCAAAAGGTCACCCAACAGAATGGTCAATATATAATTGATTAATGGTTGTTGTTAATATAAATAAATTCACTTTGAAAAATATGAAAAAAAAAACGACATTAATTATCGAACAACCGTTATCGAAACTTACTAAGGGTAATGTGTCATCCCTTTTTCTACAATAGGTCATGTGTTCTCCGTAATAAAGACTACTCTCTATCGACTTGACCAGTAATTCCTCTCTCCAGGGCATATCTAACATATGTTCAGCCAATGTTCTACCACGAAATTCCTCAGGGTTCTCAATAACGAGGTTAGCGAAGAGATTAGCATTTTCTTCGTCCTCGCTATATTCCTTCATGGCTCTCAAAGCCGATACTGTTTCTCCCATGACAACTTTCTCGGCTTCTGTTGGTGGATAAGGCAGAACCGGTTGTTGCTGTTGTTGAATCGTTGGCAAAGTAATTGCATCAGTTCTATAATCGGAATGAAGATGAATAAGATGTAAAAATAAAACTACATTTATCATATTCATAAAGTAATAACATAATCATAGTAGCTCATGAATTCCAACCTCAGAATTGAAATCGACAGAGTTAACTTAAAGAAGAAAGATATTGATTAATTGAAAAGAAAAATCTTTGACTTACCCAGTAGTCAAGAAAAGCCTTTCCAGATCAGTCATAGAGATACCCTTGAAACTAGCAATCCCCAGTGTGTGAAAAAGATTCTCGACAGGAGTAACGCTATAACATCCAGCTAGCGAAGTTCTAGGATAATGTACAACGAATGCCAAGCACATTTCCTGATTAGCAGAATATCCCCCCAGAGTAATCTTAGGTCTATCCAGGGTGCTGTAAACGCATTCAGCAACGAGTTCGTCACCAGGTAGAATCTTGACTTCCTCATCTAGCGTATGCGACTGTTGATAATTGAAGTCGAAGTGATTATCTTGAACAATTCTTGGCAATTCTTTCCCTTGACGTATGTGTTTCAGTCCAAGTCGTTTGCCAGCAAGATGAGCGTGCAGCACCACGGAGACTACATTGATACCATCCTCAGGTAACATCTATCCAATACAAACAAAATTAAGAAAAACCATTTTCGATCACCGAAGAACTTACTATCCATATACAATTACTAACCTTATCGGTACACTGTGACGCACAATAACCTGCTGTTGCGTATTCCTTCTGTCTAGGAGGTACAACCAGAAGAGGACTTACAGCAACACCGGCAACAAGTATACCTGCATCATGCTTGCGCAACTTAGGCGTGATATGAAGTCTGACACCACTACTGTCGTTGACGTTCTTGAAACCAGGGTTATTATAATGCACCTCCAGCATATAGTACGACCCTTCAGCATGTTCAGAAATAGGTATCCCCACGTGTTCGGGTAGCCACTCTCCTAGAATATAGAAAAGTGTCAATTATAAATCTCATAATTTGACACGTCGAACGATAATGAGCACTACCGTACCTTTACTACCCCGGGCCCAGGCCAGAACAGGCTGTAGGCAGGACGACCACTCCTTGGGTCTAGTACCACTGTAACAGTCTGCACCGATGAGTTTGGTATGTTTAGCCAGGATCGAGTCAGTGGAAGCACACTCGTAGAGGATGATGTGATGAACCAGAGCCTCGTTCGCCTTCTCCACCAACGGCGTGTACTGAAATACCAAGTAGTTAATCATCCTTCGGTATCTAAATAAAATGTAGTACGTGGTACGAGAACGGTAATGGCAGATATGCGTGCGATCAGTTAGAATGATTCTTTTATTTTCTATGGGAAATCCCATTGTCAGTCTTTCTACGTGTCTCTATACTTGCTAGTCCACGTGACATCGTCCACGAAAGACAATTTATTGTTATTCAGATAACGTTCCGGGCGACGAGACATCCGCCCGAATCAGTCTCAATGACCGTCATTTGCCAAAACCGTCCCTGTTCTACTATGGAGCGATGTGCGTGTCATGAAGAAATTATCATTGGATTATCATTGATTGATGGGCTATGTCGACTGTACTTACTCCAATCATGTGATGCTTCTTTAAGAGACCCGGCGGTCTGAAGATCTTGCACCAGTACGTGGTATCGGTGTCATTTGGTACCGCAAACTGAAATCAAAAGAATTTTCAACTTGTATGAATTTTCATTTTTAATTGGGCAGTGATATTCGTCATATACAGTAAAAAAATGTACATTTCAAATTCGAAGAAATTCACTAATTTATTTTCTTTTTACTATATGCTCATGCTCTTGCATACCTCATGAATCTCTCCAACGCTCGCTCCTTAATTACTTTTTTCTTTCTCATAATCTTTTTTTGTTTAGCCCATCTGACTAATTATTTATAGTTACTCGGCTTGTCCCAATCATCGATCATCGATCGGACTCTCTAATCATTCGTTCTATCTCTCTTTCTTACACATAGTTCTCCATACGCACCTCCCCTCTCCCCCTCCCCTCCTCTTTCACTGACGCTCACACATGGAATAATTATCATAGTTTTTAGCTTACCTGATTCAATTTGACATCCCAGTGCCGTAGATCTGAACTGTCCAATTTCGGTTGAGGATGTGGGGCTGGAGCTTTAAGCCTAAGGGCACGACCCCCACGTTTCTCACCGTGCCACATCGCGGTATTTAATTCCGGATCGGTTTCGTGTATTGCCCATAATACTCGTATCGTGTCCCCCTGAAAATGAGCGAGACGGTCTCGGTGACGTTATCCTAGAGAACGTAGCGTCATAGGAGTGACTATAGTTAACGCGGAATCGGTTAAAGAACAAAGGATACCAATCGGAAACAAAAAGAAGAACGAGAAATTCTCAGGGGGTCGCTCGTATGGCCGTAGGTACATCGGCACGGATTAAAAGTATTTTAATGGGTCGCATCGCGTGGGTTGGGTTTGGAACTGGTAAACATATGTGAAAGACCGGGAGTCCTGGAGCATTTTGTAAGAGGACAGGCATGTTTAGGGTATACCGCAAAAGGCTCGGCATGCTAAACGCTTAAATACCAGTCCTGACAATCGCTACAGGCTCTAACTTTCCATTTGGAAGTTTAAACGCGTCCAGTAAATCAGGCTGAATCTCTCTTACTTTATTTGATTCCGTTTGTTAGCTGATTTCCTTTTCTTTTATTCTTAATTCTCCTCCGTTGTAAATTTAATCTAGCCACTACCGCGAAACGAATCTTCCGAACGTCGTTCTTCTGAATTCATGAAAAATCTCTTAAGGAATTCACGACTGGTTTTAATTCCATTGCTTACGGTTAGTTGATGATCTTGGGGGTCGCAGGTCTGCCACCTCCTGGAGAACGTGACGCTCGTGTGAGTGCCGTTTTGCGAACTATGGAGGACTTCCACATCCTGCGAGGCATCCGTTACCGGCGCCGCGTTCGACTCCTCGATCCCATGAGAGTCCTGCAAACGGAAGCCAGAGTGCAATGAGCGTCGTACGAGAGGTCAATGTCCTTTCTAAGAATTACCAGAAGTCCCATTCACAATTGAGATTCCGAATGAATTCGATTAAATCCTAATTACAGATACAGGAAGCACGTTAGATACATATTATTAATTCCATTAACCTTTATCAAATTTACCATACTCACATTTGCACGTATACATCAATTATTTGAGAAAATAATGATGTTCCTTAAATTCAATTATTTCATTGCTTATTTTATTTCCATTCGTTACATGGGGTACGTATCCGAAATCAAATATATATTACTAGTTCAAAAGAGTCTTCAGCAATTTTTTTTAACCTCATTAAATCTTACATCATAATTCCTTCTTCGTCTAACCTTCTCCTCCTTCATCCTAGTCGCTGGTAGCTTTATCGTTTTTCTTTTAACTTTTCTTTTGCTCGTACGTCTCTCGTTTGTAACAAACTAAAGGCACGAATGCACGTGAGCGTAAAACGCCCGGAGCGTCTAGGTCCGTTGCGTCTGTTTCTGGACTCACGGGCAGGACTGCCAACGTTCCTCCAAGGGAAGTCGCCTTCCTGCACGTAATGAATCCAAATAATTACCAAGTGCCGTCATGCCTACCACCGCCTCCGTCAGCAGACCGTTTCAGCTTCGTGTCTCGTTTGGATTCAATTCAGTCAGGTTAGATCGTATCTTCGTGGTTTCATTGAGAATAGGTACTTACACGCTCTACACCCATACAAGTGAACGGGACAAGGTGGTAAGAAAAGGGGGGAAAAAAGTTCCAAGAGAAAACAAAAGGACAACATCGTTTAACGAAAACATAAAACTTGTATTACAAGATCAGTATACGATCATCCAACTTCTACCGATTGACATTAATGTTGAACACGAAAAAAAAAAAACAGTTACTTAACTCCACATCAGTTCCGTCGAAAATTGATCGTTAAAGTAACATAGTCATAAACGGTTGTATTGGCGACCGGATGTGTCCTGCTAAGATCTTCCCTTCATTGATCTCTTTTTGTGCGTCTATTCCGATTCAGGAGAAGCCGACCGGTTTGTGAGCGTTTCTCACCGTAATCTCTCATCGTACATTTTCTCGCGCATTATGCGGATATTCCCATCGTTCTACCAATTACCTACCGATCTTGAAAGTCCCTAGACTATTAGATGAGACGTCATAGCCGATCTTTTACGGCTACTTCGACCGGTCGCTTAAACAAGATCAATTAGACGGATGACTTTATCGCTTGGCTATTCGATTTTTATTCTATTGGAATATACGTAAAATAATTGGGGCAAAATGAAGGGAAGATATTTCTTTTCGTTCTTGGAAAATGGATCGTAAATCATTACTCAATAATCTTAATGAAATCTACGGTTGGCCGATCGCGCCAATCATTCCGTCATTGCACTGCATTCTGTACGATCCACTCGCTATGAGCTACGGGACTAGGTCCGGAATACGTATTCCGACGCCCCAGGAAACGCAGGTACCCATCCATGGCGTCACATCCGTTTGATTAATCTTCATGTACGTATGTCTGTATCCTTGGTATGTATTTATTGGTCTTATAAAATTGTTTGATCTGTTAACTGCGATTGATCACCTTTATTGTATACACGCTAGCTATACCTATATCGATCGTTATGGTTATAACGAGTAAATAAAATGAGGTATGGCCAAGACCTTTCTTCAGCATCTTGAAATTCTTTTGTTCGAAGTAACAAGAACCCGGAGTCGTAATTAAGGATCATTCGAAGTCTGCTGGAAGCTTCTTTTAACGTTTGGTAAGACTGTACGTAATTGAGAAAATGGAGAATCTTCAGCGACTGGTTTAAGACTGTAAGGTTAGCTCGAAGATTTCCAATGATTCGAAATATATTTTTCCTCGTATACATATACAATGTTCGACTGCTGCTTATGAGGGACCTCAAAGGCCTGTGGTTCGAAGGACGATAACGTCGGTAAGGATAATTGAGAGGCGTAACGACTACCGGGAGAAGACTAGCTTTTTAAGTAAGTGCCTCAAACTTTTTTCTTTAGCGGGGAACAATAAACTGAAAGCTGCTGTACCAATCTCAGTACCAAAGATCAGGTTTGTTTCGATCTTTCTATTGAGTACAACCAGTACCCATGCACCTAAGTGTACCTGAAATTCATAAGGATCTCAGAATCTCACGCAGTGCCCATGGCTTTCAAGGACCTCATCTACACGCAATGGTTATAACAAGGTCCTGTGGGCCTGTCGATCGATACCGGTTGGAAGAGAAATAGAAATTCATCCTTTGTGTTATGGTTCCCAGGGATCTGGCCGCGGGGTGAAAAGGGGAGGAAGAGAAAAGACGAAGAAAAAGGAAGGAATTTCTCTCGCGGGGATTGCCCCTCGAGGCGCCACCAGGACGGTAGCCAGGTGTTTTCGAACGGGAGTCCTTCTCCTCCGGTTTCTCTGCATCCCTCCTTCCGCTCCCTCTTCGTCATCCTAAATTCTGCTCCCCTTCGGTTCGGGCCACAAGACCGACTCCCTTTTGCCACCTGGTTAGAGCGGCAGCTGGAACTTTGAGGTCCTTAGAGAACTGGATAAAAGGGGTTCCTCCCGTCCTTCGGCCTGGAACCTCCAGGATTCTCTTCATTCGCACTCGTGCTACGTCAGGGTCCTGACTATGACGACTTGCTTCTTCCATTATTCCACTTTTTGAAATGCCCGCCCTTTCTTCTGCTTCTTCCTCGTGGTTAAATACAAGTATTCCTAGCCCTTTATTTGTACGCAAGAAACAGGACGACTTTCACACCGAGCACAGACCGAAGCAAGGTACCTGAGGATGCTGGACACTACCAGCAACTGCCTTCGCGTCGTAAAAGTTCCTCGGCATCTCTGAACGAACGCTTTACAGTTTACCGGATCGTTCGTGTCTCGCCGCCACCTTTCCTTCTATTTTTCTCACCTTCCAAGAGGGCGCGAGTTATATAGGTACCCAGACGGCGACCATTAAACAGGCGGAACGTGAGGAGACCTCCCCCATGAGAACATATCCATGGGGAGACACGGGAGAGAACTATTTTATCCTTTCAAGGATCGCACGGATAAGAAGATTACACTGGGATGAAAACGAGCTCCGTTTCCAAGGAGTACAGGGACAAACGAAAAACTCATGGAATTAACTCGATTTGCCAGTCTATTAGAGTTCCAAAGAAAAAGCTTCAAGACCACCGCGACGGAAACGAATAAAACGTTCTAGGCTCCCTAGGCGTTCATTACTTAATTTCCCAAGTACCCGCAATCAATTACACCGCGGTATATTATTAACCGTCGTTTTATCAGGAGCGTCATTATACAAATATACATAAATCACCAAAACGGTATACAAGTATAATTAAGAGTATTGATTTATGAGGTATAAAAAAATTGCGACAAATTCGATCAGGCTCTGTTGGCCTGCATTAAGCCTTGCCACCCCGAGGCTAACAATCTAGATATCAGGAACGGCACACGGTGGCAAGACCGTTCGCCAGGGATCATGGAACTCTAATTGCCATTAACGAGCGTTACGGTTCCCTGGTATCGATCCCCCAGGCTATACCTTATACTCCCATCCTCCTCTTCTTCGGCGTACTTCCTATGGTTTCGCTGTCACTATATATATGTATATACTGTTCATTACAGAGAATGAGGAGGGACAAGAGAGCAGAGAGAGGGTCAAAATCAATCGTCATCTTGACGTTAGGCAGAGACGGGAGTGCGAAAGATAGCAGGAGAGAAAAGATTGTAATATTTTACTGTTGGTACCACTGGACCGGTTCCTCGGCAAGGGGTATTGTAAATCATATGTAGGATTATGTCGACCCGATGTCGTCCCAGGTATGCTAATGAGTCCACCGCATTTGCAGATATACTCTTCGCGCATGCGCAGTACACGTATTATGAATTTCCCACGAAAGTCCCTGGTAAGCATATAACCATACCGCCGACAATGGGAATGAAAAAGTTTAAGACGAGACCGTATAGCAAAGAGATTCCACAAGAGTACGGTTGTCCGTCTTATTGTTAGTGGCAGTTTCGAATAGTCCCGGTTATATATCCCATAATCCTTGAAATATTCCTTAAGAAATAATCCCTCGCGCCAGTACGAAAGACTAACGACCGACGTACGAATCTTTCGTCGTATATATATACGGCTGGGGTAACATACGAGATAAAGCAGTAGAACCGCCTCGGAGGTAAAATCGGTGGTAGGAGAAAAGAGTGAGGAGTGCAGCCAGAGGGCTTCGGGTGGTTTAGGTTAAGGTTGGAGATGGAGAGGGTAGGAGCGCCGAGGTACAAAGGGATTAAAAAAGAGGAGTAAGAGGAGGATAATGAGAAAAAATAAAAGAGGAAATCAGCGAGCGAGCCAACGGATGGGATACGCTGCTGCTGGAGAAGGAAGGCGAAGGAGTTAGAAGAGGACCAAGGATTTCTGTGCATGCACTGTTGCACTGGAGTGTCCGTCTGTCCGTCGGCGAGACGGCCGTCTTTCTCTCGCTGATGCTAAAAGATTCGCGTCGGCCACCGCGACGGGGGGGCCCGCCGATGTCTGGAGGCCTTGGACTGGCCCCTTGGACTCAACTGGGCCCAACGTGCCCAACGGGCCTCGCTACACTTGCTCGCGGTATCCGCATCGGTCCTCCTCCCCTCCGCCTACCTCGGTCCCTTCTATCTTTTACTTCTTATTTCTTCTTTCTTCTTTCTCCTCTCCGACATACGGCGTACCGACATACCTATCCTGGCTACGACGATAACTTTGACCTGAGCACTGCACATACTGGACGATCGAATCGATTACACGCAACGACGCGCGATCTTCCGGCCACCCTCGACTACCCATTATCTATAGGTACCATTTCATTTTTATCCTTGCAAATTTCTAGTCACGATCTTCGTGGTCCTTGCGCGGAATACGGGAATTTCTTAAGTTTTTATTTTATTTACTTTTATTTTTTTTTTCATTCGGTATTACAGTATAGGAAGAGACAGCTAATTCTTCGTGGTTCGAGGATGTATGGATGGGGAACGTCTTGTCATCGATTCGGGGAAGTAAAGGGACTTGTTGAATGTAAATTAATCGTGACGTTATCTTATGGTGACTTGGGACGTATATGTTAATTTTTGTATTTACATTTTTTTTTCTTGCCGTTCCAATACGCTTGTTATAATCTCTCTGTGGTACAGGGTTAAGGTAGGTAGATGGATTGGAGAGAGTTACTAGGGAAATGGTAGATAACTGTTAGGGTTTTGCACCTTTGGTACATGGTATTGGTTATTTTGAATTTTTTTTCGAAATTTTCAAAATGTCTTCCATGTCGTATGAACGGACTGTGTTTATTGTGCGTCTCGTGGGTATTATATTCAGGGGTCCTATTCGATAGCGTGGACCTGGGATCCGTAATGGGAATAAATTTAATTAAGATTAGGAATTCGGGCAAGCCGAGCGAAGCAGGTTCCTTAGCTGGTGTGACCTTCCGCCCGATCCTTATTCCTTTGGTCGGTCTCCACACGAGTTTCGTCCTAGCTCCTTTTTCTTTCTCTTTTTTTCCACGCTCGAAATTCCAATTAAAAATTGTGAGACCCTCGCGAGGACGCTGTATAGTCTCTGCTATGAATTGTCTACGTTTTAGAAAAAAAAAAGAAAAAAAAAAGAGAAGACAGCGCCAAGTCTAGTTAAGAATTGGATAACGATCTCATAGACATTAAAATTTAATCGAACTCAGGTATGGGCATCAACGACAATTGTAAACTTCAAAAATTTGACTAAATATTAATTATTACTCAAATAACCCTTATATTTTCTAATCGCAGGGTCAATAGAGCCCCCCTTGAATTTCGGTTCGATTAAAATAATCGAAAGTGTCCTATAAGAATTAATAATCATTAAAAATGATGAATGATCATTTCATTTACAATATTCAACTCTAATCTGCTTTTAAAAAAATGAATAATCTGCCCCGGACGATTTATGAAAGATCGACCCATGTTACTGAAAGATACCTCAGAAGCTAAAGGATTACAGAATCCGAATGGACCCATGGAACATTTGAATACTTAGATACATATTGGAGAGAGGCTCCGAGATCGGCATCCCTTTGAAAAGACTGGGTCGCCATTGTGTAGTTGGATGTGTAAACGCAACGATGAAATCCATTGTCACGGATGTAATGGGAGCCGATTCGCGCTGTAGGTTGGCAGTACTGCAGGATTAAACGCCCGTGAAATACGAGTCTCCAGGCAACACTTACACTTTCAAAACAGATCTCACTCTACCGGTGAAGCAAATGGGCCCCGATTATTGGGACCGATCTCTTAGCATTATAGAAGTGTCCCGCACGATTTCGATTATGAAGATTTCGATCTGACGAAGGATGATATTGCAGTGGAGCGCGAAACGGCTTCATTGTCGGACTACGCCAATTAACGCGGCTCATTATAACAATCAAACGAACGATCTTTAAGAAGTCCCTAACGACTGGGCCTCACTCGATTTCGACTGGGCCCTCACTTAAAGGGAACAAAGTCTATCCAGCATCATCCTGGGATATCTTCTCTTTTGTTTCGAAGCGATTCTCCTTCTCGTTTGCCACGCTGTTATTTCTTATTATTCTCTTTCCTTTTATTTTTCCCTTATCTTTTTTTTCCCCATCCTTTCCTCTTCCACTCGACCGCTCTCTTAATCTTCGTTTAATTCCTTGGGTTTTCGTTCCTTTGCTTTCCTTTTTTTTCCCTCGACGGGCTATTCGCTCTTTGCCACTAGTTCTTCTTTTTCTTTGACTTCTCTTTATTTTTTATTTCTTCCTTGCGCTCTCGGGACCGAGATCGCAGTACGTCCGAACCGGTGTGTCCGTGTGTGAGAAATGGTACAAGGCGAGTGACGATGACGAGTAGATAAAGGAGGGGAAGACAAATCGAAGGGTATAGTTTTCCTTTTCTTAATATAACAAAAAACATTTAAACAATCATTATGAAATATTACTTTCTGTACTTACCAGCAAATTTACGGCATTGGAATCATCGTCGACCCAAGCCAGAATGATGTCTGCACCCATCATATGATTGTGATCGTTGAACCCGATCCCCACGTATCCTCGGGTCTTAGCAGTTACTCGGAAGGTGACGAAATCCTCGTCACTAGGATCCCATTCTAGTATGACGATACCGTCATCATCCAGTTTCTCATATCGTGTGAATGATGGTTCAGGAACGCTTCGAGCATGTCTCGAATGAACCAGTCTCTCCCTGGCAGGTTTATTCGCGATTTTTAATTCCTTCGAGGTTGGCACATATTTCTTAGGAACTCGATTTCCGATCTTAGGAAGAACCTTGATCGCTGGACCATTCAAGGCCAGATCGCCCACCATTTCAAATGCCGAATCTATATCATCTTCGTTCTCATCTTCAGTTTCGTCGATCTCTATCATCGATTCAGGTTCGGTTTTGGATGTCATATCAGCAGCTTCTTTAGGTATGATTGGCTTCGACAACGATTCCCATACTGATACTAATTCCGTAGGCACTTCCAAATCCTCTATTAAGACATTCATACTAATCGTAGAATTCTCATCGTCACTTTGTGCTTCGGTTGGCACCGGCTCGTGTTGATCAGGATTTAGGTTCTCTTCGCGGTCATTGGGAAAGTCCAGACCGTCATCCTTCTCTATGAATATCGTTTTTCCAAGTGTAACAGGATCTTCGACGTCCTTGACAAAATTCTGAATATCGGTTCCATTCGTATCAGTAATGACTTCCTTAGACGATTTAGAGTCTACAGTCTCGGGCAAGAATCCAGGCGCATCAAATTCCTCCGTGAGAATCCACTTATCCTCAAAATTATTATCTTCCTGATCATTCGGAAAATCGAGAGCGTCATTCCCCTTAATGATGACTTTCTTAGTCTTCCTACGAGGAGCCGTGTCGTTATCGATCTCTACAGAATATTCTCGTGGATCGCTATTCTCCTGATCGTTAGGAAAATCTAGACCATCATCCTTTCCAATAAAGACCATCTTGCTCTTTTTCGCGTCGTAACCTCTCCCTGTCTTCTCATCAATATCCAACAATTGTTTTTTGAAATTAGAAAGAGAGTAAAAGGGTTCCGGTGGTGCGTTTCTTCTGGCACGCGATCTCCTGAGATTCCTCGGATGATTTCTTCTGTAAGCCAACGTCTTCATGGTCTCGTCCATGTGCTGGACGTAAAGATCGAGAAGATCGCATAGTACGATTCGATGAACGCAGATCAATAGGACAGTTCGTAATAGCAACATTCTCGTCTTTGTTTTTTCTCTTCAAATCAACATCCGAAATCGAAGAGTCAAACGAAAATGTTCGTAGAAAAAATTTTGTTAAACTCACAGTCTTCACCAAAAACAAGATCGCATGATCTCTCGCATTATAAAAAAAAATATATATATATATCTCAACTCACGTTATATTCGAGTCAATCTAATCTCAATGCACTACCGATAATACGCGCACGAAAAATTTATCCATCGACTAACGACGCTCGTGAATCACTGTTATACTGTCGTCAGTGATCTTTACGTGATCGTGAACGCACATCCTCTGTCTGTTCTTGCATGTTGCGCGCGCGGCAGTTATGCCAGGACTAATTTAAACACGCGGGCTGCCCCTGTGGATACTCGCAGCTGCTTACCTGCTGTTCCCCATGCCAGTCTCTCAGGCCCATAAGGCCCAACCGTATAGCTACTGGCCTCATCCCCACCACGTTAACCAGCAGTCGAACGCCGTGCCGGTCTGCAATAGTTGGGACTCAACCGGCCCAACGCGTTATCCATTCGTAGTATAGACGGTAGGACCCTGAAACGTAGCAGCCAATAGCCATTGAGCATACAGTGGAATACACCGGAAAGCGTTCTACCGCTAAATATCTAAAAAGACATACTTTTTCTTCATTGGCCGGCCACGCATGCACGTTCCACTTCATACCGTAGACATATGCATACATATGGGTACTTGCACACATATATATTTACGGAATGAGCTCTTACGAATAATTCTACTTTGAATTCGCTTTCCGGCCCAATGATCTCGCGAACACAATAATAACACGCATATTATTACTACAAACTTGAATTCACATATGTGCATATGTATATACGCACATACATCCACGTGTTTACTTCCTTCGCTACCCTCGACTTTCCGAAGGGCTTCGGTGAGTTTCTAAAAAGAAATGATGGGGAGCGATCTGGGCCGCTTCCTGCGGAAACGTTTTTGTAACCGGAGAGCCGAGACCGGGTGTCGTTTTGGGGAGTTTGGCTGATGGGGCGGCTGCATATGGCAGATGCGAGCCCTTGGCACGCGCCCTTATCCTCGACAGGGGTGCTCAAATGGCGTATACGGCTAGTGACAAAGAAGTTGCGTGTAGAAAATGTACCTTATACAATTTTATACAGTCTGTGCTTTGCGTTGAGAACTATTGTTTTACGCCTGGTAAATTTTGGTAACAAAGAATTAACGATCGGACGTCGTTCGCGCGTGGACATTGACTAGTGTATCGTGTTACGCTGGCACCAGAAGAAGGGTTATCGATCGTTAAGTCAGGTAAGGAATAGCTTCCGAAGATATCGATTTCTCATGGAAGCCTTTGACGATTAAGTAACCATATACGGGGACATAGTATGTTATATTAGTAATCAAAGACTGGAGCTCAGACAGTTCTTAATCGTATTAATTGCTTGTATAGCAAACCTGTTTCTCGCCGCAATCAATTCCCTGGCCTTAGAGTCCTGCCGCCGTCGCTCGTAAAATTCACGAAAATAGTTCTCTGGATATTTTCGACTTGTACGCATAAGGTTCCCAACGCGTCCGGATGTCTAGACAAAATCGTTAATCCAGCGCAGTACAGATTTTCCTAGAATCTACCCTTGAGCGTTGGGAAACGCATCGTACCTCAAAAGAATTCAGTGCATTGTTCGTGATCTCTTTTATTTCCCGGTTTTTTTTTTTCATTTCGAAAAAGGTCGCACGGGACTTGTTCGTAGCCGCTGGTACCTTTCTATTGTCACTGGGAAAAAAAAAAAAAAAAAAAAAAAAAATGTAATAATGCTAGAACGTTTGTGGGAGGGTAAGAAAATTCTTTGGAAAATTTTCAAGGTTATGTGTAATTGAAGAAAATTTCTGATTGATATGCGGGAAATCATTTGAATGAGTATCGATGGGAACAGTTAGAGAATTCGACAGTATATATAATCCTATATACGATATGTATATATGTATATAGTATCTATATACATATGGAGATACCTATATACATATACTACGATAAGCAGTAAGATTTAATGTGACTTGAAGTTTATACCTTGGCTATATTCACGGCACGAAAAGCATTCCTTGTAGAGGGCAAGGTAGGAAGGCTACACGAAACTCCTTAGTATTCATCCAGTGAGATTATTCATCGTCGTGGCTTTACCAGAAATAAGATATCGTATCGTATCGGAAATCGTCTTGGCCTGGGAAAGCACGCGATATGCAGTATGGGTTTGTACCAGTTTGATTGATTCGGTGAATTAAACGGTCGAGGCGTTTTTAAATAATTAAAACTTTTTACGCTGTTACAGGAGGACATTGAATAAAGTTAACCGGATGGAACGTTCATTTTTTTTACAACCTTGAAAGATACGAGAGCGACTTCACCTGCCGCCATGACACCTGCTTTTACAACGTGCGGGATTTGTACTTGGTCAGGACATCTGCCACTGAAAGACAAGCCCTGATAATTCTTATTGATTGGAGATCATTCGTTTGGAATAATTCAAATGGCGAATGGACTCAGGATTTTTTGTATGGTTGGTACCTCCTCGGTACTTATTTGAAAGTTATTTATTGTTCTTCAGTTATTCTTCCTGGATCGTATTTATTTTTTATTTTTTTTATCCTCACAATATGCCCGAGCACTCGCCGAAATTTTTGTGCTTGAATAAAACGTCGCCTGTGATGTTTCTGAGATTTCGCGAAGTTGCATACTAAGAAACCTACGCAGGCTTCTATGGTATTCTACTCGTGTGCTGGAGACTTCGTGTTTTATGCCACATACGTACGTAAGAGCGTCGTGCAGGAATTTGAACGCCGCCAAATAACCTGGGGATTTCCTCGAATAAAGATGTATTCGCGTTGAGCTCTGCAGTCATCATCGGGTACATTGAGATTTACATTGCTTAAAAGAGCCCGATAAATCCTTCATTGACTTATGGTCTTGCCGTTGACGGTTTTACACACATTTCCTCTGTGGTACGTGCGTACGCATACTGGTTTCATTCGACATAAAGATACAGCCTGATTCGGGTAATTATGGTCGTATCGTCAGAGGCCTGAATCACGTTTTTTTCTGGTTCCGTACAATTGCTTGAGCCGTATAGGAGGCAGCACTTATTCAACAATTTTCAAGCGAGTTACCGACTGTAGGTAAGTCGCTACGGAATTACCATTTGTAAAAGTTGGTATGTCGGACACCCTTTGTAAGATTAACTTGTAGGTATTCTCGTTATATAATCCTCTGAGGGTACTTGTAATATATTTCTTTTTTTGTCGAAAACTTTGTATCGTCGAAACTTTGTTTCTTGAAAGGTGGTGATAGAAGTTGCGCCTAACTGACGCAAGAGGCAGCACTTTATACAAGACAATGGTCTATTTTCATTAGAATCTGTCAAGGAACTGGAAGTTGCTACGATTTTTGATTTTCTTTTCACAAACATCATAGGAAGATTCGAAGGGTAAATCGTTATTCAGTATGTTAACCAATTCCACCTTGTATTTCGAAGTTTACCATTTACTCCCTCAGCTGCGTGTATTTGTCGAACGAGTCGGTGGGTGGGTTGCTTGTCGTTCAGCATTGTTGACTTTTCTTTGGGTTCCTCAAGTTCCCTGGATTCCTTGACGGCTCTTATGCCTGGTAGTCGAAATGCGAATCCTCTTGACATCTTGACGATTTAACTCTTAAAAGCAACGACGGACACGGTAGGTGCGAGGAATACCATAGGAGACGGCAGGATTTCAATTAGAGTACGAGAGGATAAGGGATGGATAAGAAGAGAGAAAATTGAGGATGAAAGAAGTAAGCAACGCGGCAGGATAATTCCAAGAAAAATCATGAAATCTCGGGGCTGACACATCGGCGCATACGTACGTACTCTTTGTCACTAGGGACATTAAATAATTCACCACAGCTGGGACCGAGGGTGGCTGAGAGGCAGACCGGAGTGTAGGAGTCGGGGGGGTGGAAACTGAAGGACCGATCAAATATTCACATGTCCCTCAACGCGGATATAGCTAAGCCACGTCAAGTCGAGTAGCTAAGTTTAAAATCTTCTTTTCTAATGATTTTCTCTTGCGAAAGGAATTGGAGCGTCGCAGTATTTTTAAGCTCCATTTCTTTACTAAGATTGGACGAAGAAATATCCTAAAAATGATAAATAAAATATTATTAGAATAGTAAAGTCATACTGTATACTCATTAAGTTTTAATTTCTCCATCGTGGGAAACTTAACGAGGATATTTTGTAAAACAAGAAATAATTCATCCTTATCCTTCCCAATGATGAAGATCATACTCCAACAAAGTCCCCAAGAAGAGGCACCAATTCAGGAAGCGAAGAGATATTACCTGACGGAAGATCGTGCAATTTCACAAGGATGAAACCAGGACCCATGTAGATGCTGGAGTTTCAGGAATAATCACAAAATGACATAAGTCTTTTTTACGGCCGGTACAGCTAGGTAGGTTCGACAAAGTATCCCTCGAGGGGGTGGTTTGCTGGGCAATCGGCCGAGTCGTGGGTCCGCGACGCATAAAAATATGCCACGGGGGTGCCATAATATTTTCCTTCAAAAGTTATCATCTCACCGGGCGGACATGGCCGACAGAATCGATTGTCATTCTAGAAAGTATTTTGTGCGAACCTCGAAAACAAGTCAGCTGCTGCCACTGGGGTAAAAGTTGGTCAACGAAGCGTGGCTTCTCTCCTAATCATCGTTCTAATTATCTTGGTAACCCAATCCCACCAGCGCTCCTTGGCTTCTTGCTTCGATTCCCTTCAGTTCGCTCTTCCTTAACGTTGTCTTAGAGTTTCACTGACTCTGAATGTCTTACACCGTCTGAACCCTTAAGAATTCCTACCCTCAGAATGTCTCACTGGAGTCTCATGGACCTGGTCTCATCTTTCTCCCTTTCTTCATATACTTCCCTCCACAAGTCTTATTTTCCAAATCTTCAACAATCTCTAACAATTTATTCAATACCCTCACTCAAGATATACCATATATATCACAGTTTCGAAGTTCTGCAAACTGCATACAGTTTCTATATAACTTCAGTTCTCACCAGTACAATGGATACGAAGTGAGAACCAACAGTCTGTGGGTCTGTCGGTGACCGCCCATCTAAGTTTAACAATTAACGGCACCTCGGGAAAAAAAAAAATTAATTGCAAGGTTTCCTCTACGTCAGGAACACTCGTAGCAATCTGACCGAAAGACGTCTTACAGATCCTCAATTCTGTAATCTTCTTTTTTTAAGGTTTGTACCAGGTCGATCGCTGTACGTACTAGACGCATCTAAATCGTTCCTGTCTTTCCCTCTTGTTGCAAGGGTGGCTTGATAGAAGTGACGAGGATGTCTCGTGCTCCTTTACTTTTAGCCCCCACGTTGTCGTCAGACTTGACATCCCGACAAGAAGTATTTGTCATACGTCGATAGGCGTCAGAATTGACACACTCGCCGGGCGTGAAACGGAAGCGTGGCTGGGGAAGCCGGGGCTTCAAGCGAGGGATAAATATTTGAGGAATTTGTCGCTGGAAAAAGGGGGCGAGGATTCCGAAAGCGAGAGGAACGCCTCGACGACACACACGTCGTGTAGGTAGTGCGAGGACACGTCGGAATAAGAAACGGGACTATCGCTTGTTTGGCGGAACGATAAAAGGATTTCGTTCAATTTGCATAGTCAGTTTAACGTTCACGAGTCTCAAAATGCGTAGCGCGTCTATTCTGACCTCTATAAAAATGTTCAAGTTTCAATCATGGACACCATCGTCTACATAACTCAGACTCAATACAAAATTTGTCTGTGATAATAAAATTGCACAAATCAATAGTGACAAATGATCCATCTAATTTTCAACGGAAGACAAAAAAATAGCATATAAAATTAAAAAATTGACAGTGACTCTTACCAAGCCGCGGTTACGTATTGGTACCCTCGTGGCAGCATTTGACTAAAGTTTTCACGACTCAAGAGAAGGGTTTGAAAGGCCATTTTCGGAAAGGGTCTAATTAGAATTTTGCACTCAGTGGAAAATCAGTGGCGCGCGGTGATAAGTTAGGTATATAATTGGCGGATTGGGCGGGGTCGAGGGAGGAGGGTGGCACTATGGTGCACGGTGGTGGATGAAATTTTGGGCAATAGACATCGAGAGACATGGGGACCTGGAACCGAAAGCGACAACTTTGAAAAGCGTGGGCGCGCTAGCGTGAAAAGCATAGATACTCGCTGAATTGCGTGAATGATGCCACGGGCCATCAGGAGAGACAGAGAGAGAATCAAAGAGAGGGCCCTGTATATGCGTGAGAGATAGAGAGGCAGTTCATTAATGGATTAAGAGTAGTCGATCGATACGATTAGCAGCGTATGAGCGTACGTTTTCAGCTAGAGCACCAGCGACAGTACAGTAGAGTACTATGACGTTATACCATAGCATATTTATAGTATAGTATATGCCTATACATATTGCAGTTGGTAGGTACTATATGGCAGCGAACACGTACCTGAAAAACTTAACCTAATTTAGGGTCGACTATTGATCACTAAATTGATATGAGCGACGTGTAGTTCGTCTCGGCATCTTCGCTCCCTTACACGTCCCATCACCATTTCTCGGCCCCTTTTTTCCTTCCTTCGAGCGCGCATTGCCTCCCTGTGTCCTTGCGTCCTCGTATGGGGGATGAATTTTAAAACTATCCCCAGGAGACCCTGCAAGGAGCATCTCTTAAAATCCGGCTAAGCGTGGGAGAATTTGCCATGGGCTTGTTCCTGCGTGGGTGCTACACGTCCCTCGGGAAAGGGTGTCGATATACCCGTTTCGGGCTTCTACATTGGCTTTGGTTACGTAGCTACTTGATTTGAAACTAGGGGGGTAGTTGCCCTTAGAACGAAATGCTATAGATATACTATAGCTACGGTGTAAAAGCGAAGAATGGATTTGGAATAGACATTTCTTTTTTGTGTGCTAAACCTAAGTTGTAAATGTGTTATACTGAATTGCAGTCCTTGTATTTTTATTTTGAGGTTATAATAGCATCTTGCAAGGGATGATTGGGTAAGACGCACAGTTAGGGTTCCTCCAGGGGCGACCGGAGGTCGGACGTAGGTTAGTCCTCGTGCGGATACGCTGTCGTCGCTTTAATAAGCTCCCTTTCTGACTGAAGCTCACTCCTTCCCTTATACAGCATCCCTTAGCTACAGAATCAAGAACCGTCTTGGGCACCCTTTACGCGCGTGAAGGGCGAACTGCAATTTGATAAACTGTCACCGCCGTATGAGCTACTGTCCCTTTGTTACCCTCACAAGAATACGGAAGACACCCCTCGAGATTGTTCGTTTGCGATTTTTCTAGGGGGTGGTTTCAGCACGTCTTGTATCGTAAATCATTGTACTTGTCGAATGCGTTAGAAATGTCGACTCGTGAAAATTTACTTTTTGCTTTAATTAACTCGTGTAATTTTATCAATAATCATTTTTTTACTGGTTCTACGAGAGTACATTTAATTTCATGAAATATCGTTCCTACCATTTTTCACTGTTACTAAATGCATAGGAATTCACCCTACGAAATGGATATCGGACGCATCGCACAGTGGCTCTTTCCATTTCCATGTAAACGAGGCCCATAACTTGCGGACGTAAAATCTCCCAAAAATTACAGCATTAGTAGTTAGTTCCGCGCGGCAGATCACGGCTGATACACCCGCGAGCGATTACATTAGGTATGGAGATGGGCAAGTACCAACAACCCTCCTACCAAAAGGCAAGTCTGGACAAACTGAAATTCTGGACCACGATGATCATTTTCAGAAGAGAAACCTCTTATATACCTCTTATATGCTTATATGTTAATAAAAAGTCCTAATGCAAGAGTTGGAGCCTGTACGTAACAGAGAACAAAAATATTTGATCAAGATCCAATGATGTACATGAGACCAATTTTAGAAACCTCTGATACCTGAAGTTTGTACCCAGGCGTTTATGCCATCTAACAAAATATGATCAGAATCAAACTACACGATGTACCTTTTGGAAAATAATATTTTTTTAATGAGTTTTCAAAAAGATTTCCAAGCGTACTGTAAAATACGAGTAGAGCAGTGGATTATCCTCTTAAAGGGCTCAACTAAAGGAGAACCTCAGTATGTAACATACATGTGTATAGAGAGCGAGGTAGATAGTCGAATGGTCCGGCTACCAGCTGCACTAGGAGCTATGGATAGAGGACCTTGGCTCTCTAGGGAAATGATCCCACTTTGCCATGGCAAAATGGAAATGCCCTTGGAAGCTGGGCATCCGCCTCGATCACGATGGACCAATCCAATGGAAGGGCTGGGTTTTGTCCAGGATGACGATGCCGATAACGAGAAAGACACAGTTAGGAGGGTATCGCGAGGTAAAGTACCCAGGCGCTTTGTCGGTTCTTTCCTAAGTACGCATAGAGGGTGGTTATCGAGGGTGCCTACATATGTGATTTGAACACTGTGAGAACATGTGTCCTCCCCACGGTCGTCCCATGGGATCTAATAGGGATGCGTGGAACTGGAGGTTGCTCGGATACGGCGGATAGTCTAGTGGTACAGCTAATCTCTACCCTTATGCAAGTCTTACCTTGAAGTTGAAGATTTCATTGGAAAAGCCATACGAAGAGGAGCTCCTATCCCATCCAAGGATCCAAGGATCTTTTAATTATATGGGAAAGTACAGACTCTTCTGGAGATATGATGCAGATGGGAGATTAGAAAGTGATACTCTTAGGGTAATACGGAGAGTGAGAGCAAGAGGTGAGAAAAGGGGTTAAACGTCTCGACTAATGGCGATGGTCATAATATTTAATCACTACTCGTTTATTCCCCCGAAAGCCGCCTTAGCACCAAAGTTTCGGTAGCGGCGACAGGAAAATTATAGTCCTTGCGCAATGCAGATATATATTAATAAACAATATAAATTTTGTTTAGCAATGATACAAATATTTTTTCAAACAGAATTCAGACATGTCAAACGCGTTCCAGAACATTTTTCCGAAGGGATGTTTAAGGTTGGATTCCATAGCAATCTGTATATTGCTACTCGTGTAGTGGGACAATAGAACATCCGGCCGTATAAAGCCTACTGGCTTCAACCCCTTCCGATCTTAAAGATTGCGAAACAAACGAGAGAGCGTCGTAGAGAAAGGAGCAGAGGGAAATAGGGTGTCAAGCCAAGGGTAGCTATACGTTCTAGGCATCCCTTTAAGGCGACAAGAGCTGGATATTTACGTAGGGATGTTTAGAGGGGACACGGTGGGCTATATTGTTGGTCGGGGGTATAAAGGAAACCATGGCGAAAATTGTCCGCGGGATTTCGCGGCACGAGTACTTTCATTAAATCCCGATAAGACCTTCGAGCTGTCTGAAGGTAAAGGAAACGGCTGGAGTTTGATTCGTCGGCGGAAAAACGAGCGGCGAGTAGGAAAAACTCACCCCTGTCTTCATCTTTCATCCTTGAACTGGTAAACTCATTCCCGTTTATACAGCGAGGAAGAGAAGGAGATGGACTTAATAGAGAACGAGTATAAGGGATGCTGGGTAAGGTTAAGGGTAGGTAGGGTGGCGTTTCATTTTTTGACACCCGGTGTATTTGATTCCACCCTTGTAATAAACCCCAGGGGTTGCTGCCGTCGGTCCCGTTCTCCCTACATGTCATATCGACACCTCACCCCAGAGGGTAGGTGACTGCTAGGTAATTTGCTTTCTTATTTTCTCTCCCAGTCACCTTCCATCCGGATCGCCCTAACCTTCTGATACTCTCACCCTTCGTACGTCCTTCCATCCTTTCTAGGTTTTACGATGCGAATTCGACGACCTCCCCTTCCGTTCTCTCATTCCAACAAGGCGACGTCTTCGCGTCCATTCGTTGCCTAGTTGGGCCAATCTTTATCTGTATAGAGTTTCCTTTTTCTCTAGATGATCATGAACGCCTTTATTTTAACTCCTGGCTAAAACCTCCACGGAACGTAATATCGAACTCGATAAGCCCCGACTTCTTGTCTCGGGTATAATCTGATTTGGATCACCTCCAGACCAGAACTTCTTGATACTTTACTCCTTTGGTTTCCCTCGACAATCCTGTTACGTCAAACCGTCGTATGTACTCGGCACGTTCCCATATGGGAAGATTACCACGTAGGATTGAGAGGTAATTTTTTTAATCGATATAAATAATATATGAAAAGTTGGTCTGGTATGACTGGAATTAATAGTAGAGTATATTTTTTATGACAGAGGGTTTAGGTACTGCGAACGTCTTTGAAAAGTAGGGAGGTTATAGTAATGTCGGGGTCCGCAAGGACCGCGTGTAAGGCGCGGAAAGCAGCAACCCTTCCAAAGCCACCCCAGTGACACCCCCGACTCGAGGGAACGTCTCCAGGACAAAACTTACCCTAAGAAGCCTTTAACAACGCCAAGGCGGTGGCACTGGTGGGGTATAAAAGTTGCCGCATGCGCAATCCTCTGAAAAATCTGCGATCCGCCCCCGTGGCGCCGCCTCCATCACGTCAACCCCCTGGCACCCTTTCGACACCCCCGGAGACCCCCAAGATGCTTGGAAGACCGGCGTTTTTCGCGAATTCCCCGGTAACATGTGCTAACTGTGCGATTACCTTTTTTGCTCATGACGCTCTATGTGTATTAACATACGCGGCTTCAGGATCCGGAAGTGTGTCCTTGGGCTCTTAAAACTTTATCCAACCACCGGTACAGTCTCGATGAAGAAGACACGTGGAAAATTTCAAGTGCTACCGTAATAACCTACGTGTCCTTTGCCGACAAAGAGTGAAGTGCTTGAACGTGTACAATCTAACTGAAAGAAAAAAGTGTACAGTGAGTGTCGAGCAGACGATTTATTGAAAATTCTATAATGATTATCTCAAACGGAAAATTAGGAAAATTTCCGTCATTCATAATGAGCAACGGATAGAACATTTTGCATTCCCACGTACAATTTACATTGCGTAAATGCAAACTCCAATTATTTCTTCGAGCGGCTAGAACAGAACGATCACTGTAGCAGCCAACAAACAAATCCACCGGTCTAATTGGTTGCCAGCAGGTAATTGTTCGGCCTCCATAATTGGTCCAATTAATTTGAATAAAAAAATGCGTTAATAATCGTTCGGCATTCATTTGGGGTTGTAAATAGCACGTGTAAGCCGTGTCGGATGCAGTATGTTCTGACTTTTTATTATCATTGTAAACGGACCTAAGGTTTCAGTAGTGACGACTGTCCCACTTAGGACCTCCTGCAGATCGCCCGGAGACTATTACAGTAGCAATTGAAAATGTTCCTATATCGAGGGGACTAGAATTGTAATAAACGGGGGTGTACCAGGGGGTAGTTTGGCCCCGATTCGATGCGTCCCAGGATAAAGCGTAACTGGCAACTGAAAAAAAAATAAATACCCACTACGATCTTTCATTCACGTGTATGACGTAAAGCAGTGGAACGAAGAGTGTTGGTGATGCAGGGGGCCCCATACGTATTGTTACTGAAATAGGGGCGGATTATAAGGGGCAGGGCGGGGGGGCTTCTCTCATTTGGGGTTCTCAGAGTTTCAGCCAGATAGACGCACATGGTCGATAATTCCATGCTAGTCCATCCGAAAGAGCAACACGTTACAATACGTGAATTTTCACGCGAACGACAATCAATCCGCATTGATAATGGGAGTGTTTAATTTACCTCACTTATACGTTAAATAATATCCTGGCCTCTCGTGTATAGAATATATTAATTATCGATCACTGCGTGTATAAAATATAAAATAGACAGTATTATTTGTCATTCGAAAATAAAGCCCGCGAAATTTGTTTTAAAAAAAAGTAGTATATAAAAAAGTAGTATCAAAGTGCAACGTTACTCGGTAGAGCATGAATTCTTCACCCCGGATAAACTACCCCTAGGCCCCCGGCTCGTTGCTTCTCTGAAGTAGTGCATATCGCAGCCCGTTTTCAACCCTCCATGCACAACCCCATATTTCCACCCCCGAACGAAGCCAGGGCTCTTCTGCAGTCTTTGTTTTCCATTCTTCCCAGTGACGTCTCGTGTTCTACGCTATACGGTTGTCTACCAGGATCCTGATCATTCAATAACCAATAAGTCACGAATCTGGAGGTTTACCGGTAGAATCACTGATGGTATTTGTGGTAGCTGGTGGTTTAAAGGGCCGCGATGTCAGAAACCAGGGTGAGATTGATCCCGTGTGTGTGACTCTAATGAAGTACCAGTGTGTTTAGTGCGTGGGTAATAAGTCTCGAATCGTTCGGTAATTATGGACATTATAAAAGGAGATTAAAAAAATAATGGATCCCTCACCAATAACAATAGTGTTTTTGCTACGCAAGTGGTAGCCATCATTTCGAATGCTATACTCTACGGTAATGAATACAGCCCGAGCAAATTGACGTGAATTTAAATAAATGATTTTTATGTCCAGTGCGGCTCGACGTGAAGGCATTAATGAAAGCGTTGACGAGTACCGGATTTTAAAAGCATTCCCTATCGGTATCGAGGAGGTGCGTGCGTGCGCTGGCGCGCACGCTTACTCTGCCATAGGTACACTGTGTCATACACTTTGCATTAACTACCTTCCCTCGTCCACCGACCCCTCTGTATTTTATGCGAACACAGGTAAAATTCGTTTTTACCTATCAGTCAAAAGGTTTTTCAGTTCAAAGCAGAGCTCAATAATTTTTCATATAGTTCATAGTAATTTTATGGAACGAATGAAAGTTTACGCGATACAGAGATATCGTTGTTATCGACGTTACGGAAATAAGCTGGGGAGCTGGAGAACGCTTGGAAAGTCTATGGTGGAGGATATAGGCGAAAGAAGATTAGTACGGAGAAAAAGAGGAGTGGAAGAAGGATAAAGAGAGAGGAGCGGAGAAAGAGCGTCAGAGAAGACTGGAGGAACCGAGTCTGTTCCGAGAGCAGGATTTTTCCCCTCCGTGTGAAAAACCACCCCCACCAGTACCGTACGGCGCGTCGGCGGGGACTGGGGGCTGGGGTTTGGGGCTGGGGGCGGCGGCCTCAAAAATACACCGCAACCACACCGCGCGGCTCCACCGCAGAAGCCGCCACCTTCCACCGCTCAACCGAAACGAGACCGAGGCTGAGGTCGCACGAGCCAACTTTCCTTGGGGCGATCATCCACTGCACTTGGCAAGGACGAATTCCTGGACTTAAGGATTCCTTGCATGAGGATCCAGTCGCGAGAAATTAACGTGTGTTTGAGAGTATAAATTTTCGCGGGAGAAATTTTGCTCACTTAGCTTCTTTTTTTTCCATTACGAAAATGAAGACTGGGTGAAATGTGCAAGTCGACGGTGTCCAGTGAAGAAATTGAAAAAAAAATGTGTCTTGTGATTTGACGGGATTATATTTTAATGACAATTAATAAATCTATTGTACCGATTATATTGTGAATTTGATTTTGTAAATTTATCGTGCCAAATTTTACCCCCGGGGGTCGTGAAGAGTGTCTATGGTGACGATGTTTCAAGAGCTTGGTATCTATATGCTGAGGAACATGGTATGTACTGCGTACTGACAGTGTGTGAAAGGGAGACATAGAATTATAGAATAGGAAGGGTAAGAGGGATGAATGAAATAAGAGGGTGGCTTAGATAGAACCAGCCGATTCCAATAAAACGAATTTTCTCCGCGACTTGGCAGTCGAGTCGAAGAATTTGCAAACGGATGCTTCGCTCTGTCGTGGGATAATGAAATAAGGATCAAAGGACCCTGTTTCTGGTGTTCCCGAGGAAACGAATCTAATTCCCGGAGGATACGATTGATATGCTATTGGTGTTTTATTGACTGATGTATCTGAGCAAATCAGGAATTAACGAGTGTTACGATTTTGATTCCCCCCCCTCAAAAAAAAGACTTCAATAACACGGAAATGATTGATCAATTGAACTTTGTCATTCGATCAAGATCATTCTGATTAACTGATTGTATGATATCAGAGTGTAATAATATATATACAAAGAAATCGACTGATTTAAAATTCGTTGATAGACAAATTGTTATTAATCATTACGAGAGACTATTTTCTTTTTTAACAAGTGAATAACACAAGAAGAAAATGATTTTTGGTCACATGAAAAATTAAAGACCTCGTTCCCATGACGAATCCTTCGCGAGATGTATGCCCCGAGGATCGGCCTCTCGGCTTAGACTATCCTGACACAAGACTATCCCGATCGAACCAGGTGAATCCATCGAACCAAGTGAACCAGCTAGGGGGTACCAGGGTGCGGAGAACAAGGGCATCCTCTCGAAGAAGAATGCACTTAGCTAATGAGGTTCCACCTCAGAGTACCACAGGTTCTAATCATCTTCCCGATTATGCCCTAACTGCAGACCTCCTCGCCGAACGTACCCTGGACGGTTTGCTCGCGGAACATCCTGGAGAACTCGTGCGAACGGGTAAGATATATTTAAGAAATTTCGACAGATTCACTGTACAAAAATTAAAAAATTGCAATATTCAGCCGACGGATTTTCATTTTATAAAAGGTTGTCCACACGTGGTCTGCACTGTGCTACCGTCGCACTGGAGATCAAACAAGACTCTACCAGTAGCATTCAAGGTGGTAGCTCTAGGAGACGTGGGCGACGGCACCCTGGTAACAGTACGTGCTGGTAACGATGAGAATTGCTGTGCGGAGCTGAGGAATTCAACAGCCCTGATGAAGAATCAGGTGGCCAAGTTTAATGACCTCAGGTTCGTCGGCAGGAGCGGCAGGGGTGAGTCTTCGGTTGGAGTACCCTACAGAAATGGTTCGCTTTTATTTACATTTTTTTTTTAAATTAACAATATTTCTCTCGTAATAAGAAATTCCAAAAATTACAATTTCCTTTGAACTGGATTGAGTTTACACCCTTTCGTCCCTTAAAAATGTTTCATATTATTTTCTTTCCCTCTTCCATCCTTCTCTCACACTTTTCTCAACGTCCCCGAGAAAAGCATGCCGTCTTCTTAAATCGAGAACGGGCGTTGACGTTATCGAGACTCTGGCGTAAATGATTCAGCAGTCGGTACATTAAAGGTAACCCCCTCCTGATGGCCTCGTTTCTTCAACGCCGTACCCCGAGTCACTCTCATTCTAAACAGAGAAAAGAGGATGAGTCGAGAGGGTGTATATATAGGGGGGTGGGTCCTTATTCGTCCTCATTTTTAATTCACTCGCCAAATACCATGGCTCGATCCACCATCCATCTGACTGTCGGCGGACACAGGATTTTTAATTCCAAGTCTTCCTTAATAATTCAGTACTTCTTTGCTGCCAACGCAGTACCAGCCTAGTACGACCCACCCCTTCGACACTCTTCCTTTTAGCCCAGGACCATCCGCCAACTTGGTGCGGGGTATGCATATACCCGGGTAAGAAAGAACAAAAAATTGGGGTCCGAAAGAACCCCTTGAATAATGCATTCTAATAATCGCAGCCATTACGGATAGTTGATGTGGCGTTGGGGTAAGGAGTGCTGGGGAAAGAGCAAAGTTTTTCTTTGAAGAAGACACCGTAGATCCTCTTCCTTTTCGGCGTCCCTCATACATCTTTAGATTGAGACCTAGTGCGAAAATTACCCGGTGGAAGATGTACGTAGCTCGTGTAATACGATATTCTTTGGATGTCTTTAATTTTCACAGTATGAACAGCAGCAACGACAGTTTGACAGAGCGATGAAAAAATCCACCAAAAGTCCCACAGACAGACATAACCTAAGTAAAACCTCATGGAATTCACAGTTACCGATTATTTGGTTAACGAGAAGGGAGGTTTGACTTGTTTATGGTAAATTGGATGCGGAAATTGCAATTTGATCGGGTAGGAAAAGTCACGATTTCCCTTCCTTCATAAAACAGAAGAGAATAATCTCCACCTATAGGTGCTCCAACTTCATTTCTACTCCGCTCTGAACGTCCATTCTTTTCGAAAGCCCCTTAACGTGTCTGATCTTTAATGGCAAGTTTTACTTCCTGTCGACTTTTTCACGACTTATCGAACAAAGAAAAGGACCAGGAAGACAAAAAGACTCTCGACAAAAATATCGATATACAAAGAAACTTTACAGGTTGACGATTTTCGAAATTTTTTTTGTTAGTTAAATCATCGAACGACTCTCTCGGATATTAGTTGCTATAGCCGAATCGAGCAGAGTGGTTGGCTGTAAGCGGCTTTGGTTTCCATGGCAGTAAGCCCTCATTACTGCATTACGGGCTACCCCCAACTACCACTCGTACGCAACGATTTGGCTCAGTGCTACTATGGCCAATATCTGCCGTTATGAAATTGTTACGTATCCAGGGAAATTGCCGTCCACCGTCTTAAATGTAATGCCTTCACTTCTTAGTCTTAATGTATCTAGCTGTATACATAATACATAGCGCATACGTATAACGGATATAAATATGCCAGAAAATATCTAGTACTTTTTATCCCTATACTCATGTATATTACGACACATTACACAGATCGACTGTTATGGATTTGGGTATTCGATGGACGTGACTTAACGTAATAAAACGTAAAAATAGTAACCGTAGAGAAAAGGGAGACGGTGGGCGGTAGGGTTTTAGCCGACCAAACGGCAGGTAAACAGATTTATAAAATAAATCTGAAATTTATGTTGTTTGTTACGTTACATGGCGATATCAGTTCGAGAGGCAGAGAGAGAGAGAAAGAGAAAGAGAGAGAGAGAGAGAGCTACATATACATTCTACACACACTACGTTATCCAGCTCTTCCATATGTATATATATATATATATATATATATATATATATATATGTATATATATACATGCGTGTGTGTATATATATGGACCAACACGTATTACGTTTTATAAACAAATTCGGCATTTATTATTTTAAACGCCGGTATACGCAGAGTAGCGTTATTTGAGTAGCTGGCGAGTCCGATTTTTAAATTCAAATATTTACACATTCGCAGAGATTTTATGAACCACCGTATATGTATATATTCGCCGTGCTTCCGTGCACAGCTCGAAGGTCTTTTTTTGGTATCCAGGAACGACCTGTAGATCCACAGGTTTATGGTGACCTACGGGGGTACCTATGCTAAATTCACTAAAAGTTGAAACTCCTTAATGCTTATTCTGGCTTTTTACATCCCCAACGGTGGGACCGGGTTGTCCGGGTGTATGTTTGAGAAGCAGGGTGAGAAGCCGAGCCAACGAGAACCGGGAATATTATCATACCGGCGCAGGGGTGTATATCACGTCGCACCCCTTTCGACCCCGACAGGGATTAGCGTCAACCTCCGACGCTAGGAGTCACAGACGTGATACCATCCCCATATGCGTATACGTATGCCAACCCCTTTCCATGATACGTATCTATGTGCCTATACCCGCCGAAAGCGTAAAACGACGAACGGATCGCATAAATACCGGAGTTACCTGTGTTTTATGACGGTTCGGAGATAGAAAAGAGTCGCGGAATCCACGAGAAACGTGGCGGCAATCGACAGCAGATCCTGACCGATGTCCAGGATCGGGATCGTAGTTGCCCAGTTGCCGTCTGTACTTTTTTCGTACTGTCCTTTTGTATTTGCTCTTTTGCACTGCTCTTACGATCAATCCTACTCTTTGGAATTATCTGTAGATCCACGTAGAATGGAGTTTGTCGTTTCCATATGCAAAATTATAGCTTTTACGTAGACAACCTTGCATGTACTGTTTGTTGGAGTTTTCTGAAAATTAAAAATATCATTGAGATTATATATATTTTTTTTTGTATTTTAGGAAAATTTATATGGATCATTTTTAGAGCCTTGTTTTTTATGTACTCGTTTATATTGTATTTTGAGTTTCTTTCTGGCATGACCATTGGGAGTATATATATATACACACACTCACACACACACAAGCTCGTACTGTTCTTCTGCTAGTACTTTATGAAAGGGTGAAGGGTCAATGGTACTCGAGGTATGACAATATTCTGCTAGTAATGATTTAATAAATCGTAAAAGAGTCGACGTTGAAGAGGGTCGGGTATTGTGATCTTTTTCATACATACTACGTTACGTATTCGCGTTTAAGATGTATAGAGGCCATGTAGATGCGATAACGTCGTAGAAAATCCATAGGGTTTTGGTAATAATATTTTTCATTTGTAGAACGCGGGAAATTTGAAACAGAAAGAATTTTAGATTTTCTTTTAAAAGCATCGGAGCGTGACATTTGACTCATGCGCCAGGAGTTCCATAGAAGATCAAGAATCGAAAGAAACGGCGTCATCGTCGTCGAAACGACGAGCATTCGGAGATATCTCCCTGGTGGAGTCGCTAGGACTTTTTTTCCCAATTAAAAATTAAAAAATCTCCCCCAAGTCTCGTGCCGACTTCGTCAAGTGGAGGCAATGAGTAGCTACCATGGTAGAGTGTACGGTTCGCGTGCTTCTCTGCCGATTATAAATATTTTCTTTTATTCGAGATTTTACTGCGCGCACATTACGTTCATTTGGTTTCATGGCTCTATTATTTTTTACATACATGTTAATTCCACTGCCTTGACGGACCGTTAGGACATATATATGTATAGAATGCATATGAACTATTATAAACGCTTCGATAAATTCACTCCAGTAATGTCATGTATAATGGAAGTGGATGATATATTGAAGCGGGATCACATTTCGAACCTCGACTTAAGCTTTTCGCTTCGATTATCAGCACATCGTGCGTGCCACCGTTTACTAGATGTACACAACTGTAGGGTGTATGGGATGAATTTGTAAGGGAGGATGAGAAAGACAGAGAAAGCGAGAGATAGAGAGAGAGAGAGAGAGAGAGTAAGTGAAATAAGAAAAAAGCGACCGTACCGAAGAAGCCGTATAGGTAGAAGAAAGAAAAAAAAGTAGAATGGATAGAAGCGAAGTAAAATTCCTCGAACAGAGACAGGCGTGAAGAGTTTTCACAGGGGGTGGGTTCCTTGAAATATTCCAGCACGCAATTCGGTGTACCTGCCCCTCAACGCCGATTCGGGTAGTCAAAACGTCAGAATCTTAAAACACTGCAAACATTCTGAAATAACAATTCAGCGCCACCCTCGTGTTCGCCCCGACTTTGGTAAACGGGGGCAGGGGAGGGTGGGGAATGATTCTTTCACCTTTCTCTTTTATTCGGATTTTTTGTTTTAACGCCACACGATCCCCGTACAAACTGGGGTGTTCCAGAAAATGAATTGCCGCGTATCGAAAGTGACGCATAGACTATAAAAAAGTATGTAGACTCCAAAGACCTAAGGGGTAGTAGGAGAAGTACTGCTGCTAGTGCTGTATAGAAATGTTTAGATGTATCTTTGGATGGGTACCTACTTGGCTGGGAGGGGTTGGCAGTTTAGAGGGATATTACAAGGGGGTGGATAACGTGGAAGGATCGTTCTTCCAGCGTGTTACACATAATGCCTCATAAACACCCCCAAAATGCCTGCCATCTCCCTCCGATTTGAGCGGCTGCCACCACTACCGCCATGACACCGCCACTGCCACCGTCGGCTTCACCACCGCCGGTATCAGAACCACCCTCAGTTAGCTACCCCTACGCTCCTGACACCGCTGCAATAAACTTTGGCCTTGTTAGGATTTGGCGAGGAGGTTAAAGCCGGGAGTGTCGTCACATAGTCCTAAAGTAACGTCATATCTGCGAAACGTGTTATAACCACCTTTGCTCTTCCGTAAGGATCCGCCGTAGACAGTGGCGCCACTGTCGTTTCACGATTCCCTGCTTATCCCCGTTGACATCGGCGATATCCTCGATTGGCAAAGTGTCTCCATCGCATCCCTGGTAACGTTGCACGTACGCGCATCCCCTTTTATTATTTACCCCTAAAAACTAGCACGTATACACGGACATACGGGAGTATATAGATACCCAGCAAAGGGAGTAATTCGTGCGAATATTTTGCTCGACGCGGCAGCCTGGCGACGCCGGTAAACCTGTTAAATGTCGTGGTTCACCGTAAAAACCAGGCCCGTTAACCACCCTTGGCGACCTACTATAAAATAAAACAACCCCCCGCAGGTCGTACAGCGTATAAGCGCTACTACGTAGTCGTGTCCCATTATAAGCTACCGTGAAACGCTTATATATCTACATGTGCTATTTGTACAGTCATTAGATAGTCTTTCGTAGATCATCGCAATGATCATGTCGATCGTTGAATGCGCGAATAATCGATCGATCTTTACCATTACGCAGCGTTGCTCTCTACTCTATATTTTCTCACTGATCCTATATCACTCTCATCTCTTTTTATTTTGTTTTAGTGGCACAGTGGCGTCACCTATTCACCCCCTTATTTTACTTCCAGCACATTTATGTCTTGCTTCCAGCATACGTGATGCTGTCGCATTATACCAACCTATACATACGATACATGTACGTTCTACATTACTTGTATGTGTCATTGAACTCCAGCGAGACATCGTTTTTTGATGATTATTCTTGTCCTAGCAGACGAGCATGATGGAAGCATCATTTTTCTCGTCTTTAGGAACACGCAATAACAACTACGTTACAATAGCTTCACCCTCGGGTTGATGGTTTATGCTTACAATTAGGGAAATAAAGGGATGGCAGGGTAGGAGAGGGAAGAGAAAGAGAAAGAAAAATAACGCGAATTCAACGCTGGCGAAATAAGTAGCTCGCGGTTGGCACGATTGGATTTGAATAATGAACGGGAAAACCGAGCTAGACCGAAGTTAACTTCGGTCGTGTTCGCCAACCAGACGCCTTTTTATGGTTTTTAATTCCCTTCCCGGTTGAGTTAACGTCCCTATTGGGATACGTGATATTCTCGATCCCTTGACTTGTTATCTATATCATTTACTATAGACTGTACGGTCTTCCCAAGTCGATTACTTATGGGTCGTTGTTTATGGGTCGGGTCGATTGATTTTCACTTTGTTACAGGTAAAAGTTTCACGTTAACGATAATGCTGCAGACTTCACCACCCCAAATAGCCACCCTATCCAAGGCTATTAAGGTAACCGTGGATGGTCCTCGTGAACCCAGGTCAAAGACAAGTGAGTCTATTCCCATTGAGAATGATCTCTATTGGTGGAAGAAATCAGAATATTTTTTTTCTTTCGTGATCTTCCATTCACGTGAGGTCCTGTTTTTCAGGACATCAAGCCTTTCATCCTTTTCACTTTGGACCACGATCATATCCTTTTGGGCATCCGCAGGATCCTCTAGGATTCAAGTTTTCTGGTAAGTTCACTATTTATGTTTGTCTTACACGAATAGGGTGTCGTTGCAGAAATACCTTTTGCACAAGTACAAGATGTATGCTTGACTGTATATAATGTGTATACTATATATATATATATATATATATATATATATATATATATATATATACACTCACCCTAGTGGGTATCTTCTTCAGACCTCGTCTTGACTACTCCGTACGGGTTCCGTTGATAGATAACTAAGTTTGCAACCCTACCCCGTCCTAGGATCTACACCCCAGTTAGAGGCGCAAGAGGGATCCTGGAAGCGACGTAACGCGAAGGGTGTCAAAATTGAGCGGCAGCAGGTACCAACTCAAAATTGAGTTTTCCTACCCGCCTCTAAGTGTGAGGAGATTCTGATTAAGTCGGGCGTTCGTCGTAATAACTCGCGAACTTCGTCTTTTACGAATCCCACACCTTTGACCCGTCCACACTTAGCTTCTAGCATAAGGTTGACAGAGGGGTAGTCCTCCTACTGTTGGAATTGTTAGCTACAGCGAGGTAAATATATTTTTTAAAATTTTCAACAATCGAGCCCACGTGAAGCCATTCTGGAAAATTCGTTGAGACGAGAGCCATGATTTTATTCGAATTCATTGGAAGCTCGAAATTTTTATGGGACTAGCCTCTAGGGTTGGTTGGCCAGGGTACAAAAGGGGATGAAGCAGGGAAGTGATACTGGTGCACCAACAGTGTATTGTTTCGGCATGATAAGCGGCTTAACGGAGCTTCGCTACCCTCTACCCCCGGAGGGCTCGGGCGCAGTTCTGCTCGACCATCCCCTGGGTCTCTCGTTTTCCAACCCCTAGCCACTCATTCTAGTACACCCCCGTCGCCCCCGATTCAGTGAGCCCTCGTCATAGCCTGCTCTTCTCTAGGATCGCAATGAAGAGCCGCTGCTAGTATTATACCGTGGGGCCATTTTTGCTAAATCAACCCCTCTGTCGATTCCCGATCTAGCTCGATTTCGTAGGAGGATGGGAGCAAGGGACGGTGCGCGTGCGGACACCGTGCTGGTTCGAGTCTCATGTAAAAATGGCCGTTCAAAAGAGTTGGCGAATTTACAGGGTAACCCTTTCTGCAGGAAGGTATGTGGTGTTAGTTCTTGGTGCGCCGCACAGGTGTCGCCTCTGGTCAGTCCGGCGGACGGTCAGCCGCGCAACCCCTGACCGATCCGCAACCCCATTCGGTGCCAGCTGGACCGTGTCGGGTTGTACGGGCTCTTGGCAAGAAGGTATCGCTGCCTTGGTAAGGGTGTGTTTCAAGGGGTGGTTTATTAGATATCCGCGTCAGGGGTTGATAAGGAGAGAGACGTAGGGAGAACCGCCCAGCTACTCGTGTAGGGGTTGTTAAGGTGTCCATTGAGGTGTAACTAGGGGGATGTTATTAAATTTCGTTCGGGCGACCTCAGCGGGATCGACAGGGATGAATTTTACGGGTTTCCTCCTAAGGGAATAACGCCGAAGGACTTTCCTCGTCTTGAAATACTTTCTGCGAATGTTTCGTGGCTTCATCCTCAACTACCCTCTTGCGTCACACGTATTACGAGAGGTCAACTTAGCTGACCTTTGATCAATGAAAATTACTTAGGCTGTCAGTCCCGTGGACGGTGGGTGACAATAGTGCGAAAGGAACTATTGCGAAAAGCCGAGTACGAATAAGGGATGAAAGTCAGAGCCAGTAAAATCCCCCAGAGAGATATTCGGGATCGTCCGAGAGTGAAAACACCCCGATCCAGCAGTCTCGGGAAGGTCGGAGCACGCTAAGGGGATGAAAAATCGAGAGCCGGGATTTAAGTTAACAAGAAGCGCGACCGCCTCTGCCTTTTCCGCCCTCCCGTGTCAATTAACCGCCTCCGGGCTCCGGAAAAATCGCAACCCCTGTTTCAATAAGGTGGCCTTTACCTCATTTGGGGGAGATTGTTAGGCGCGCGTTTAAAACTGTCGCTCCGGCCGGATCGCTTTGCAGTAAATTCTCCTTTATTCTTCCTTCTCTCTTTCTTTGTCATTTTTTCCTCTGTTCTTAAAGCAGATCTGTCCCCTGCATCTGTTCCTCCTAAGCCACTCTCCCCCTGGACCATCGTCCCTTAGAAATGGCTCGGTTTCGTTTCTTTAACAGTTCCCCATGATTCTTAATCATTATTCGTAACATCCCTTATTTGAACACCGAACAAGCAACGCGACACAGAGTCCCCGACGAAGGTGGGCTACCTTTAAGGGTAAGTTCTTGTTCCTTTGGCGAGAAGGAAACCCTTCTCGAGCTGAGCGAGAGTCTGTAGTGGCCCTTAAAGGGAACCTTTTTAAGGGGTTGTCCCTGTCCATCCCCGTGTCGAATCACGGTGGATCCTTTAAATTCGCCTCACATTTCACCCGGAGTCTTGCAAGGGTAGCTCGAACCCCAAGTCTCGTCCTCTCTTTTAATCAGGTCCGGTGACCAGCCTCTGGGCTTTTCCTTAGAGCGACGGTAACTAATGACACTTCCACCTCCTTCTACCCCTATCCGCTGGTTTCACTTGTCTTTTACATCACGGACCGAACGTTCCTTTAACGGGACGAGAGAGCCCAGGGTGTTCGTGGTGGCAGGGCCAAAACTATTGTTCGTAGGGTGGTAAAGTGAAAACAGAATATGTGAAACAAAGAGAGAAGAAAATACTTGATGAAATACGGTAAAATGTTCTACTTCCGACAGTCATTGAAACGTTAGTGAAAACCGTAAGGGATATTACAGGAGTGGTTGGCCTGGTGAAATATTTCGGTGCGCCAGTTGCCGATGCAGGGACCTTTCAGGGTGGCATTTTAGGGGTTGCTGCGACGCGATAATGAGAACGGTCGCAAAGGGTGGCTGTGCAAAGACACCCGACCGACCGCCTCCGCAACTACGGTAAGAGAGTTGAGAGAGACAGAGGGAGAAAGGGGAGAGAGCGAGGGGCGCGGGCGGGGAAGGGGCCGCAGTAGAGAAGCACAGAGGGTTGGGAATGTTCAACGAAGGATGAGGCTGGGTGTAAGGGCGGGTAAAACAGAGGGCGCGAATGCTACCGGCTCCATAAGGGTTAACGCCTGGGAAGTAAGAAGGGCGCTTTTAACGCCTGTTTTGCATAGATTTGAATAGATAAGGAGACAGGAAAATACGCGAATTAATTTATTATGTATCTTAGGATCGGAGAGTTTAAGAGGGCGCCGAACGTTAGCTATCCGTCCCTTACTCTAGCATCCCCTTTCGCTCGTCGTCCGAGGCTTTACTCTTTACTTTCATGAGGGAGTTTTACTCGGAGGCTTTAGCCTAATGCCTCTTTAAGTTTCAACGGTGGCCCTCCACGGTAACCGGAAGTTCCACGAGGACTAGGGATAATTACGACTTCCTTTGTTTTCGTTGAGACAGTCGGAGCGACAGCATGTAAAATCATGTAACTGCGAAGCGATATAAAGAGAGAGAGAGAGTTATTAAAGAAATCAATGAACTCCTCCGTCCTTAATATAATAATAGCCAGACACATCAAATGTGAACTCGACCACCTTGGTGTCTGGCCGCATAGTCGCTTCTTATACGAAACCTAGGCATTCTGTGCGTGCTGCTCGATAATACATCATCCCTTAAACTGCGAGCCCCTTTGGAGCACCGAAGGCAACTAACCCGAGGGTCGTAACGTTTAAGCCTAACATTTCTCACCCCTTAAAGGGTAGCAGCTCCTTGAACCCTTTCTCTCTGAAAACGGTGGCTCCCTCGCTCGCTGGAGTTCCCTCTCGCTGACTCTCTTTCCCTTGGCGTTCGGATCCCTCTTTAACGTTCTGGCCCTGCAACCCTCGGCAGACCTCCCCTCATTAGTCTTCATTTGTTTTCGGAATTATCGCCTCCATCCACGGCACGCGAGTTCCAGCAGAAGGGCAGGCACTCGGGTTTATTAAATTGAAAATATGTTACGGCTGGCGGTTTGGCAGTGAAGCAATCCCTTACGAGGACCGAGGTCGAAATTCTTATGGATCCTTCAAGTGTCGTTTTGAGATGTGACGTCGATTTTTCGTTACGAGGATGGAGAACAAAACGTAGGCGACGATTCATTCCCCGGCATACATTATGGCGTAGAGCTTTAGGAACATCACGTTTGCCTCGTGCAAACGGAGAGTAAGAGGCGGAGAGACAAAAGAAAAAAGAAGTGCTAGGAATATACAAAGGGCACGAAGTTTCCGTTGGTACTACAACGTGAACTTTTTGCGCTTCGTAAGCTCGAGCTACGAAGCTTTTCAACTCGCAAGCTCTTATCGTTTTCTTAATCCTCTCATAAAGCAGTATAGCTACGGCAGCGCCGTGCCAACGATAGGACGCTAGATAGTAGCGGCCTCCCTGCAGCTAGCCGGCTTAAAGAGAGCTTAAAAATTTCCCCTACAATCCCACTAGAAGCTTTTTCACCCCACCCACGAGCCAAGGTTTGCGGCCAACCAATCCCGCAGGCCGCAATCTCCACAAGCCACGCCCACGAACCAGTAACCCTCCTTGTGTCCCTACCAACGATTTCCCCTTCTTTTAACATTCTACTCCCCACCATACAATTCCCACCCTCATATACTAGTCGACTCCCCTACCTTTCCATCCCCCCCCCCATAACCCCCTACTCTCTTTCTCCCACCCTTATACTGGCTTCAGAGCTTTTACGGAATTTTTAAACTGCCCGGCACAGATGACGGTATAATCTGCTATTGATCAACGTTTTCCAAAAAAAGGGATATCGTTACGTCTAACGTGTTCTAAGGGCTTATATAATGTTTCACTAATTTTCCTCTCTGCTGTGTTAATTCACCTTTGATGCTTTCGCATAATTCTTATACCGCTTTTAACTGATCCAAAAGCGTCCTATACATTTTAAGCATACATCAAACTCCAAAGTTGTAGCTTTACGTTAGAACGATTTAATATCGAGAGTCAAAGCACACTAACCTAGAAATACGTTTCACTTGGTTATGCAGGTCTGCAGCATGTGAGTCTGGAACAAGGTAGTAACCAGGGTTGGGGTGGCTTACCTCGTGGATCTGCACTACCTCCACACTGTCTTCCACCACCACCTGGTCATCATCCGCATACCCATCCACCACCAGGCGGTGCCTCCGCTTTTAACCCTTTTCATCATGTCATCGAACAGAGATCACCTAGACTTCCGGTACCAGCTACTACCGGTACGTATAGGACCTAATATAAAATTAGATGACTCAATTTACTGAGTGAAAAAATGTATTTAGAACAATTATTGTGATTTAAGAAAATATTTGTATTAACGTTTGAAAAAACATATTATTACATAACCTTAATCGCGTGCTTATAGAATCCTCGAGGAGCGATCTAGGGCCAATCAGCGTCTCCGTCAGGGAAGTCACACCAACAACATCTCCAGGAAATGGGACTGGTCTACTAACCACCGCTTCCGTCACTGCGCCCACACCACCCGCAGAACCAACGACCACCACGTCCAGCCCTTCTGGCCATCATCCGCCGCATCCACATTTTCAAGGTACACCACCAAGTGTTTCACTACCGGAACTAGCACAATCCTAAAAATTCTCCTTTGTAATTCTAGAATTAAAAAATATGTTTCTCTCCAACCCTAACATGAGTTTAGACATATTTAATCTAGATAACAACAAGAATATATTATATTCTCTAAAATTATTTTATTGTAGGTCTACACCTTCTGGGAGCAACGAATTCGCTGTTTGGTTCAATATTTGCACCCTTATTGCCTCAGTCGTCCTGGCTCTACAATCCACTCTATCATACGCAGCAGTACATCCTGGAACCAGAATGGCACGCACTGGCTCTACGCATGGCTCAACAGAGACTACAGAGGCCCGACGCGCGACTTGAGGATCTAAGGAAACTTCGGCGTTCCAGCGCGAGTCCTGAAGGAGATCATACAGAGAAGAGAGTAGAACTGGAGGAACTGGATGAACCAGAAGTATCTCAATTACGGCATACAGAGAGTCCTGATGGTAGCATCGAGGTCGACGATGCTATAGACAGACGTATTGGAGTCACCGATGAGAATCCTGAAAGTCAAGAAATAAGGAAGAGGGAGCGTGTTGTCAGCGAATCGGAGTCTCTGCTCCTGGAGCAGGAATCAGCGAGTAGAGGATCAGCTAGGAGCGACGAAGACGAGATCGTCTCCAGAGATGAATCACGAGATTCCGAATCTGCGCGGCTTCAACCGAGCAGCGCCGACAACCTCCAGGATCCGGAAGTGCCTGTCAGTGGAAACGATCGGGACCGTAGGGAAAGGAATGACGTCGGAGCTACAGCAAAGGTTAGGATCGAGGAAAGCGTTGACCTTAGCACCAAGAGGAGTCAGGATAAGGAGAACATGGGCGAGGATCTTAGTACAGGTCAGGATCTCAGTATGACCAGAAGAAAGGACGAAGAAGTCGACCGAGAATCTCTCAGGCCGAGGAGAGAAAGAACACCAAAGCCTAGACAAGTCTGGCGACCTTATTGAACAGGAAGTAGGAGGGAAGCAATGAAGATTGTCTTATTAAATCAAAGTCGCCTGAGACTAGAGTCATGCAAAGCCTCAGGCATTATATCATCCGAATGATTCTCAAGGACTCGAGGACTAACCAGGGTTTTACCTTCGACTAGCATGTAAATATATCTAAGCATCATTCGATATTGCGTAGGATAAAGAATAATGAAATTAAGTGCATCCGTAGGGTCGGAACCGATAACGATAACCAGAGACCGATTCGATGACGCTGGATTAAATAATACTGATTAGAGAATATTCAAGTGATTGTACGATTAATATTGAATCGGGATAGGACTGTTATGTTACTTCGTTGTGTTCGTAGGATTCCTTATCGATGCACTTAACGACATTGCTTTACTTAAATTTGACTTCGTGAGTACTCGGCTACTGTCGTGTCTCTTCTGGCGGGAAGTTCAAATATACTTGTGTGAGATTACTCATAAAGGATTCGTCCTCGACCTTTAATTCCATTCTCTGACCTCGTGAATTAGGATTTAGTGTCCAAAATTTCGTCAACTGTTCAAATTACGTCATCGAATAAATATCATTTGTTCTATCGATCGATTTGCCTCACCTGGTCCAATCCGTGAATCCTTTCTTTTTTCATTGTCTTTCTTGAATGTCCCACTCGTTGATGGATTTTGGTAAAGATGAAGCAAAAAAGATTAACATCTACGTAATGGAAGTAAAAAAAAGTTACTACGAATAAAAGACATGGGCTGCAGAAGTTCGCAGGGGCCGAAAGAAGCAGGGAACGAGATATACATATGTGAAAAAAAATAAATATGAATAGAGTGGGTGGCGGGTGGTAGGGGGGGGGGGGGGGGGGGGGGGGGGGGGGGGGGGGGGGGGGGGGGGGGGGGGGGGGGGGGGGGGGGGGGGGGGGGGGGGGGGGGGGGGGGGGGGGGCGATGGTGTGCAACGTGTATGGCCTAGATGCGCCAGATTCAATAACGCCGTGTGTCTCGCTTCGTTGCAATTGAGAGAAATACACCGCACGCAAAAACAGCAACCTCGATATCCGTTGGAAAATCGTGTGATTGATGGAAATACAAATCCCGGCCGCACACGTCCTGCCATCGGAGGAAGAATCGTTGGGGCCGAAAAGAGCGGGGGAGAATGGGAAATCGAGATAAAAAGCCCACAAACAATTTTCTACATTATTCTCCAATATGTCCTATGCCAAATGCGAAATAATTTTAACGCCAGCCTGACGTCCGTGAGATTAAGCATTGTAATTTGACGAGTACGGGAGTATATCTGCGCATGCGCAGATCACGTTATCCGTAAAGTATACGTCACTATTGATAAGAAGGTAAGACGCGTCTGACTCAAGAGATAATAACAGAATCTTTCGTTAAAGGTTCGATAGCGATAATTCGGAAAAAAATTGAACAAATAAACACGAGCCCGTTTTCCGAAATTTTGGTAACTCTACACGACGTATAAGTAAAATTAATAAAATTAGTGTAAACAAGGGGTAGGGATGAGAATACAGAATGGCAAAAAAAATGAAGGAAAGACAAATCCCGTAGAATATTCACGAGGTACCGTTATCACGTTGCTTTTTCAAAATCCACCGGTACACGGTGCTGGTCAGGTTATCGCAACAAACTACCCCAATGACGACGCGATTAAAATTTCACGGGGGGTTGCGTGGTGGGTTCTCATACCCCCGAACAAACCATCTATATGATCCCTCTCCACTCTGGCAACCCTCCGCGCTACCGCACCCTCCTCACCCCGGAGGGTGATTGGTACGCGACCGCAGCGACCCCCGCTTTTTAATACACCCGCACCTGCATGCCTACACCCGGACGGTGAACAGCCATACCGCGAGGCGCGTCCCGGTCTCATACCTCATCCCCAGGATATAGGCTGGACACCCTCTGGCTGGCACCATCATACCGCCCCGTCAACGTCACGAGAAACGGATTGATTCATCGATCGAATATCTATTCGAGCATCCACCAAAATAGCGACAAAGACTCGACTACCCCTTGCCAAATAGCAAACCACCCCCTCCACATAGTATCTCTCCCTTTTGCCCTCTGACCTATGACAGTAGCATTGGCCAGAGTTTCTACCAAGCCTAGGGCTACTATGACCAGGCGTCACTGACCAGCCACCCCTGCACCAAAATGCATTTCTGGAATGATGATGAAACATTGTTTTTTTTTTATTAAATTTTTTTATCTTTTTCATCACAAGTGGAATCACGAACCACTGACTTCATCCTTCGGACCCTGCTCATTGGTGAATTTTCCCTTTTGTCTACCACTCCCATATAAATTGTCAGTTTCCTGAGTAAGTGAAGGAGAGAGAGAGGGAGAGACAGAGGGGGCGATAAAGGGAATGAAAGAGAGATAAAAGAAATGATAAAAAAAAAGGATACTACATCCCTGTCCAAAGTGTCTCGAATCCAGAAGGGGTGTTCGGGAGGATCCGAAGTGCGCGATGTGCGCGTAGTATCCTTCCTGTATACTTTTTTTTCTGGACATCCTTTTTCTCTCCAGCCACTTTTTATCCTTTGCTCTGGCGTCGGCCGAGCACTTTAGATAATAAGGCTAGGATGCTTGGACGGACGTAGCTACGAACGAAAGGGCAAATTAGCCATATTACCCTTACTGGAGGAATTATCTCCTTAATTTCTTTAGCGGACATATTCGCCTGGTATCCTAAGTTGGCTGGCTGGCTGTCTGGCTGGTTGCCGGGATATTCTACTATTTTCTCGAGTCGCAACATCCCTCTTTTTTTTAATCCTTAAACGCACTTGAAACATCAGCGGATATCTTGAAAGCGAAACGACCAAGACCAGGCAGGAATGCTTGCATAGTGTTACGTTTAATGGTAAAATGGTAACAGTGGATTTTGCATAGTTACATTAGCGAATTCTAGGGGATGTTAAATATCGTCTATCTGGTTACGTAAGGAAGTGAAACAATTCTGTGCCAGACAGACCAAGGGTGGGTTCACTGAGTGAAATTGAAGGTATGACGTCAGATGGTGGCGCCCCAGCGGCCATCTTGCGTGGTAACAACGAGACCTACCTCGCACCGCTCATTATCCGCCAACATAACCCGTAATCTACCCTCGTTCTACCTGTACGAGGAAGCCATCGCAATTTTCTCCATTAATTAATCTTGTACTATTTACCATTGAATATATATTTTATTATTTAAAGGAAAACCCCCCTTAACTTAAACTCCTTGTTACCATTATCAAAGCTACCCCCTTGATAACGTTTCTGTAAAAAGTATCATTGTGCTACACGGCGAAGGAGTGGAAATTCAGTTTCGTCTCTCTTGTGATATACGAAGAAAATCTACCCCTTGTCTGACACTTCATACGTTAACGGTTTCGTTCAACTGCACGACTAATAATAACAAACGATGCCTCACTTGAAGGGGGTTGTAATTCGTATAAATGATTCCGCCAGCTATTGTTAGGGTGGATATTCAAGGGTCGATTTTCTGGCTTGACTGCTCGACTGGCACACTATCGTTACCTCCTATCCATCGGAATAGCCCTTAAATTAGATCGTGCACCCTTGGCGAAGGTCCGAGTTCGACAAATTTGGTTAGTGCTGTGAAAAATGAATGCCGTCATTTTTATATCTTGGATACAGTATAGTAGCCAGTGTACCTTGCGAGATTGAAGCTTCTAGAAATTCGTACAAAATTATCTCTAGGAATTTTTTTTTGAAGCACGATAGAGGATAATCAAGGGATCCTGAATAGAAGAAACAAAATAATGCAGAAAGGGGTTGAAACGAAGTTCGACACGAAGACGTGCCACGAACATTGTATGTACTGGTATGTGAGTCTCGGTTGGGAATGAGTCTTCCAACCCCCTCTGTACCACCCCTATAAGCCGGAGGCAGTCGTCATATTATGTTTGCTCCCGCTGTTTACAACCGCCTGTCTCTCTCAGTTACCGGTCTACATCCAGGGGTGGTACGATGCTAAGACGCCAGATTGACAAATTCGACTCGCGGTAAATCGTCTGTTTGTCCTGTTCTACGAGGGTGTGTAGATGCTACCCTGAGAATTCAACCCTTAGTGCAATAACCGATCAGTAGATACCTTTAACGACTACCCCATAAAATGCTCACGAGAAAACGTAAAAACGCTCCACGAGGGGTGCACTCGACACTTGTCTCAGTAATATACACTACAGTCTACGTATCTATGTATATAATAATGATAATAGATAGTAACGAGTTTGTAGAGAAGTGGATATTGGTCCAGGATTACGGTATAATCTGTCATTAGTGTTGCGATAAAATAAGGAAAAAAAAAAGGAATGCGCCAATAAGGAGCTGCTATACAAGTCCTAATTCTGGGCACACGTACAGAACTTTGATATCGGAATGAGAAATCATTTTAAAAAATCTGCATTCATATTTTTTTAGAATTTTATTTTTTCCACATTTTTAGAAATTCTTCCCTTATAGGTAGAAACTTATTCGCAAGAGAAGCAATGGTTAAAAATAATTTTTGAAAAAAAAGAGCGTACATTCGGATGTAAACATTTAGCGTATTTATGAGGGCATAATGACGAGTCTTGCTACGTGAGGGTAACGGAAGAAAAAAAAAACTGAGAAAAGAAGGGATGACGAGTATAGAAAGGGGATCGGAGAAGATTCGCGAGAGAGTCGCGTCGCCAAAACGTAACTTCGCCAAAGACAATATAAAAGTTGAGGGTTGCGCAAGATTGGAAGTCGTAAATATCATCTGCTAAATAAAGCTTTATCCTCGAGTGCGGCGGGTGGCAACCCCTTTGCACCCTGATCATGCCGAAGAGGGTGTTCGAAGACAAAGACTCGTAACGCGAAGTGACATTAAGGTATTGGAATAGCGAAAGTCTCATTCTTCTGTAAAATCTTTAATTTTTTATTCGCCTAGAAATATCATTACGATATTAAAAAAGAAATTCAGTAACAGAAATGAAAATATTTTAATGGTATAGGAAAAAAAGAGAAATTTTCTTTTTTCATCTTCGACTTCAACTTTCTTGCGCGTTCGCGTCCACTCGTACGGAATTGGTATCGGGAGATAAAGGAAGGGTTGGAAATAACAGGGTTGAATTTTTCCTTCTAGATTCCTATACTGTTCTGTACTATTCTTAAACCCCTTTCCCCATCCCTTAGATTCAGCTTCTAAGGTATTCCTTCTCTTATCTGTAGAAATTCATTCTTCCGCTTCAGAGTGTCCCACTGCCGAATTTCCCTTCGCGCATCTCGCGATCCATTAAACAAAAATGTTTGGCTAACCGAGACAAAAATCCAGGCTGCTACAATTTTTTCTCTTCTGTCTCAGGGGGAATTCCGTGCGTGCCTACACGCCCAGCGCGGACAAAAGACAAACGCCAGTCGCGTCTTTCGTTTGTTTCAAGCGTCATTTGTTTGGCGGCTGACACGAGAACTATAGGGGTGGTAACGGTGTGGCTATAGCTGCGCTACGATAGAAAGAGAAAGAGAGACAGAGCGAAGAAACGATAGAGACAGATTGGGGTTAGCAAGAGGGAGTCAGAGGAAGTAAAGAAGAGCCAACTATA